TCGAGTCGCCCAAAAAAAACACAAAGAAGAACACCGCTGCCGTCGCCATGACGACGACATCCGGCGCCCCCAACCCCCCGGCGATGATCGCCGTGCCGACGTCACAGGTTATCGTCATGGCAACGGGCATGCAGAACAGCCCCTCCCTGGCCCTGCCCCTCAAGAAGCAGAAGACCTCAGGTGAGAGGCTTTTATTGTGAAGGAACAGGGCTTTTATTGTGAAGGCACAGGGCTTTTATTGTTAAGGAATAGGGCTTTTATTGTGAAGGCACAGGGGTTTTATTGTGAAGGCACAGGGCTTTTATTGTGAAGGCAGGGACAGCAAGTGAGCTATCACAGGGCTTTTATTGTGAAGGAACATGGCTTTTATTGTGAAGGCCCAGGGCTCTTATTGTGAAGGAACATGGCTTTTATTGTGAAGGCAGGGACAGGAGTTAGCTGTAAAAGGGCTTTTATTGTTAAGGAACAGGGCTTTTATTGTGAAGGAACAGGGCTTTTATTGTGAAGGCAGCGACAGCAAGTGAGCTATCACAGGGCTTTTATTTTGAACGCCCAGGACTTTTATTGTGAAGGCCCAGGGCTTTTATTGTGAAGGAACAGGGCTTTTATTGTGAAGTCAGAGACAGGAAGTGACATGCTGCTCCCCCCCCCCCCCCCCCCACAGATGTGACCCTCAGCGCTCTGAACGACTCGGATGTAAACAGCGACCTCGTGGACATCGAAGGACTCGGAGACTCCAACAACAAGAAACTCAACTTCGACCAAGGTCAGGAAATATCCCTTTATTATTATAGTTATCAGCAACCAAGGTAACCAAGGTAACCAAGGTAACCAAGGTAACCAAGGTAACCAAGGTAACCAAGGTAACCCCCCCCCCCTTATCACCTGAATGTCCTCCTAGAGCACCATTGAGTTCTTTGTAACCAAATGTCTCTCAGAGGGGCGTGGGGAGGGGCTCCTTATTTTCATCTGAAGTAACAGACAGAGAATAAGCACTTTGGAAACAGGGCTGAAACAGAGGGGATTATGGGTAATGATCTGTTTGGTGTTTCAGTCAATCAGAGACAGGCTCTGGATATATCTGAGACCTGGGATATATTGATGAGGAAGAGGATGACAGGGGACCTTTTAAATATGTATTTCCACCACTGCAGGGTCTGTTCACACCTGAGAGTCTGATATCTAGGGTTTTATGGTCTGTATTTGATACGGTGAGTTTTGGTTTTGCAGATTTATTTTTATCATATTTTAATGTTGTTGTTGTTTCCTCAGAAAACCTGAACCTGGACTCCTCCCTCATCATGAACTCCAGCGACCTCCCACTGCTGTCGCGCTGACCTCTGACCTCTCAGCGTCCTCTCTTACTTCAATTTATTTTACAAAGGTTCCTGTTTCCTGATCTGTCCGAGTCTCTCATTTAAAGTCAAGAACAGTGAAAGGATCCGCAGCACCAACATAATAAACAGTTTATTATCATTTATATTTTTTAAAGACAGCAGGTCATTTTCCTCGTCCTTTTTTAGACATGTTGAGTTTCTTTGTGTGACAGAATTATGTTTCCATCAGTGTGTGACGTCCTGAGCGTTTATCATGTGGTGACGCTCAGATAATGTGAAGACGCTGAAATATGAATAAATAACGCAAGGATAAGTCGATCATTTGTGCTCATTGTAATCCTTTAAATAACAACCAGACAGTGTTACCTGCTTCGTGTTCGAGCCGCAGCGATAATCTTCTGATCTCTAAAATAAAGTGAAGATATATCTAAATTAGGAGTCTGGGTATTTAGGGAATGATTGGATTAAACAATAACAATGTATTTTCTTGTTTGTGTTTTTCTTTATAATTCAATGAGTTCACTTCCAGAATATTCATCATCAACTATTTTAATAACGCATTCATCAATGTGAGGTCATTTCCAAGACTTAATAAAGTAAGTTTATCCAAAGGGTCACAGTAAAGTATGTGGAGAAAAACATAGTATAGTTTATAAAAAAAGTGGTAAGAATATGTTGGAAAAAGTCATATATGGGGCGAAGCCTGCGAGCTGGTTCAGGCAGTCAGCTCGAGCACCATGATACATTAACACGTGACGCGTCTCTCTTACATCCAACCAAACACATTCTCCTAAACATGCCGCTCTATTTAAGCTGCCAGGTCTTCTGCCTCTGCCTCGCTATGCTGCTGCTCGCCTGTCCCAGCTTCCATCCCAGCTTCCACCCCAGCTTCCACCCCAGCTTCCACCCCAGCTTCCAGCCCAGCCTCCACCCCAGCTTCCATTCCAGCTTCCACCCCAGCTTCCACCCCAGCTTCCACCCCAGTTTCCATCCCAGCTCCACCCCAGCTTCCACTCCAGCTACCATCCCAGCCTCCACCCCAGCTTCCATCCCAGCTTCCACCCCAGCATCCACCCCAGTTTCCATCCCAGCTCCATCCCAGCTTCCACCCCAGCTTCCATCCCAGCTTCCACTCCAGCTTCCACCCCAGCTTCCACTCCAGCTTCCATCCCAGCATCCACCCCAGCATCCACCCCAGCTTCCATCCCAGCTTCCACCCCAGCTTCCACTCCAGCTTCCACCCCAGTTTCCATCCCAGCTTCCATCCCAGCTTCCATCCCAGCTTCCACCCCAGCTTCCACCCCAGCTCCACCCCAGCTTCCACCCCAGCTTCCATCCCAGCTTCCACTCCAGCTTCCATCCCAGCTCCACTCCAGCTTCCACCCCAGCTTCACCCCAGCTTCCATCCCAGCTTCCATCCCAGCTTCCACCCCAGCTTCCACCCCAGCTCCACCCCAGCTTCCACCCCAGCTTCACCACAGCTTCCACCCCAGCTTCACCACAGCTTCCACCCCAGCCTCCATCCCAGCTCCACCCCAGCTTCCATCCCAGCTTCCACCCCAGTTTCCACCCCAGCTTCCACCCCAGCTTCCACTCCAGCTTCCATCCCAGCTTCCACCCCAGCTTCACCCCAGCTTCCATCCCAGCTTCCATCCCAGCTTCCACCCCAGCTTCCACCCCAGCTTCACCCCAGCTTCCACCCCAGCTTCACCACAGCTTCCACCCCAGCCTCCATCCCAGCTCCACCCCAGCTTCCACCCCAGCTCCACCCCAGCTTCCACCCCAGCTTCCACCCCAACTTCACCACAGCTTCCACCCCAGCCTCCATCCCAGCTCCACCCCAGCTTCCATCCCAGCTCCACCCCAGCCTCCATCCCAGCTCCACCCCAGCTTCCACCCCAGCTTCCATCCCAGCTCCACCCCAGCTTCCACCCCAGCTTCCATCCCAGCTTCCACCCCAGCTTCCATCCCATCTTCCACCCCAGCTTCCACCCCAGCTTCACCCCAGCTTCCATCCCAGCTTCCACCCCAGCCTCCATCCCAGCTCCACCCCAGCTTCCACCCCAGCTTCCATCCCAGCTCCACCCCAGCTTCCACCCCAGCTTCCATCCCAGCTTCCACCCCAGCTTCCATCCCATCTTCACCCCAGCTTCCACCCCAGCTTCCACTCCAGCTTCCACCCCAGCTTCACCCCAGCTTCCATCCCAGCTTCCACCCCAGCTTCCACTCCAGCTTCCACCCCAGCTCCACCCCAGCTTCCACCCCAGCTTCCACCCCAGCTTCCATCCCAGCTTCCACCCCAGCTTCCACCCAGCTTCCACCCCAGCTCCACCCCAGCTTCCACCCCAGCTTCCACCCCAGCTTCCACCCCAGCTTCCACCCCAGCTTCCACCCAGCTTCCACCCCAGCTTCCACCCCAGCTTCCACCCCAGCCTCCATCCCAGCTCCACCCCAGCTTCCATCCCAGCTCCACCCCAGCTCCACCCCAGCTTCCACCCCAGCTTCCACCCCAGCTTCCACCCAGCTTCCACCCCAGCTTCCACCCCAGCTTCCACCCAGCTTCCACCCCAGCTTCCACCCCAGCTTCCACCCCAGCCTCCATCCCAGCTTCCACCCCAGCTTCCATCCCATCTTCACCCCAGCTTCCACCCCAGCTTCCACTCCAGCTTCCACCCCAGCTTCACCCCAGCTTCCATCCCAGCTTCCACCCCAGCTTCCACTCCAGCTTCCACCCCAGCTCCACCCCAGCTTCCACCCCAGCTTCCACCCCAGCTTCCATCCCAGCTTCCACCCCAGCTTCCACCCAGCTTCCACCCCAGCTCCACCCCAGCTTCCACCCCAGCTTCCACCCCAGCTTCCATCCCAGCTTCCACCCCAGCTTCCACCCAGCTTCCACCCCAGCTTCCACCCCAGCTTCCACCCCAGCCTCCATCCCAGCTCCACCCCAGCTTCCATCCCAGCTCCACCCCAGCCTCCATCCCAGCTCCACCCCAGCTTCCACCCCAGCTTCCATCCCAGCTTCCACCCCAGCTTCCATCCCAGCTTCCACCCCATCTTCCACCCCAGCTTCCACCCCAGCCTCCACCCCAGCTTCCACCCCAGCCTCCACCCCAGCTTCCACCCCAGCTTCCACTCCAGCTTCCATCCCAGCTTCCACCCCAGTTTCCATCCCAGCTCCACCCCAGCTTCCACCCCTGCTTCCACTCCAGCTTCCACCCCAGCTCCACCCCAGCTTCCACCCCAGCTTCCATCCCAGCTTCACCACAGCTCCCACCCCAGCTTCCATCCCAGCTTCCACCCCAGCTTCACCCCAGCTTCCACCCCAGCTTCCATCCCAGCTTCCACCTCAGCTTCCATCCCAGCTTCCACCCCATCTTCCACCCCAGCTTCCACCCCAGCTTCCATCCCAGCTTCCACTCCAGCTTCGATCCCAGCTTCCATCCCAGCTTCCATCCCAGCTTCCACCCCATCTTCCACCCCAGCTTCCACCCCAGCTTCCACCTCAGCTTCCATCCCAGCTTCCACCCCAGCTTCCATCCCAGCTCCACCCCAGCTTCCACACCCCAAGTCCTATTATAGTATTTTGAAAAAGTCACAGTATAAAAAACGTTTTGAAAGTCTGTTCATTAGAATCAGTTTCTGTTCAAAGACAAAAAACACACATTTTCTACGATACAGATTTTCTTTTATTGAGAGTTTTCATATACAATATAATATATATTTATAGTATGTAGATGAATTGTTTTCTGTTAAAAACTAAAAAGTAATTTTGCGTCATCTTTACAGCCGTGGGACCCTCCTAATGAACACTCGAATATAGACTTTTATTTTACAGTTGCATAAAAATACATCCTCTCATTTGTCGAGAATTTGTCCAAAAAGAAATAATATTTACAATTTGAAAAAATACTGTGAATGTTAGACGTGCTTTTATTTCCCTTCTTCTACTTCAGCAGCCCTTTGGTGTTTCTTTAAAGCCGTACCTCACTCCGAAGTTTCCGTTATTTCTCAGCTTTTTAACCTGAACGAATATCTGCTGGTGTCGTGGAAATCAAATCAGAAAATAATTATTTCATATGAACAGTTTTAGGGTCACATGACACACAACGCTTCACAAACGAATACATTTAAAGTGCTTAAAGTTTTCAATTAAAAAATATAATTTTGACTTTTCTTCAAAACAAATTCAAAATGTTGACTTTTTTCAAAGTTTTAACTTTTTTCTAAATTCAGACTTTGTTGAAAATGTAGTCTTTTTCCAAAATGGTATCTTTTTCTTCAATCTTTAGACTTTTTAAAAAACTGTACAGGTGAAGGTCCTACATTCAAAATCTCAATTATATTTAGCAAAATTAGCAAAATGTTGTCAGTTTCACGCAGTTTCTTTAAAGAGATAAAATTCTAGTAATTTATTAATAAAAACAAATGTTTTACATTTTGAAAAAAAGGTCATAATTCAGTTTAATTATTAGAAGTTTAGATAACAGCCAGAGTGATTAGATATATAGATATATATACTTTATTTATCCAAACATTGGGAAATTATTGAAGTGTAATTTGCAAACAAGGTTGTTTATTTTGTGGATTTTTTTTTACATTTTGGGAAGTCCACATCACACCCCAAAAATAAAAGCTATTTTTTTAAGCAAAATCTCTTCAAATAAAAATTGCAGTCTTTATTTAACTGAGAAATATCACCGTATTGTTCTCCGGAGTGAGACATGACTTTAATACTGACAGACGTTGACGGGTCGATGTGAGGAAACATAAAGAGGATAAAACAACAGAAAGCTTTAACATGATGAAGAACAAGAAGCTAACACAAATAAAGCAGCTGTGGACATTTATACACAAATGACTTTTTTTAGGGGTGTTTCAATTTCAGAAATCATCAAGTTATCGTTAAAATACAGAAATCTGTGTGATGGAGGTTTTCAGTGTCGGAGGATGAGACACGATTAATAGGGACTTTTGGAAGAAAACAAAATAAGTAATTATAGTGAGAAATGTGGTCAAAAATAATATCTCAGAAAAGGTGCTTATTGTCTGAAATGTCTAGAAATGACTATTAATGTATTGACATAACTTAGTTTCTTAAAATAATGACAAACCTTTTTCTTTAAAAATATATTTTCTCAATATCTTTTTATACTAGGTCGTAATAGAGAGTTTAAAAGAGAAATAATGATCTGTTAATATTACTTGAAATAGCCAGAATTTCATGATTTGATTTTTTTTTACCTGTCGCTAATTGTTTTCGATCAATCCTTAAACACATTTTTTTGTTGTAAATGACAGAAAATGTGAAAAAACTTGACAATTTTTCCAAAAATAACTTAGCTGAAAACAATGAATTTATTTTTGCTTCGATTAATAACTTTAAACAAATAAGTAATCACTGCAAAAAGGATGCAGATGAATCTTCTGTCAATTGTGTAAATGACTGCAGACCTATTGTTATAAATAAAGTCAGTAAGTAAAACTAAAATATAAAATCACACGTTGTTCAGCCTCAGAAATATTAGATTTCCCCTGAATATTATTAAAAATACAACAGAAATTTGAACCAAAAAAAGGTTAAATAGAATGAGTTTGAAAACCTCCATAACACTGGAAATGTACTTTAAATAAAACACAATTAAAAAGGACAGAAAAGCAAAAACACAGAAAAACATTTATGAATCTTTTTCTACAGATATTTTAAGATTCAGTCGAATAACTTTTGGCTTAAAAACATTCTTTGAATTCAGCCTCACATTTTTCCATCCAGCTACACAGATCCTCTCTTCAAGACGACAGCTTGTGATCGCGTGCAAATAAAAAGTAATAAACAGAAAATCTTCTTAAAGCTACAGTCTGGGAAACCATTTGGCAGCGTGACGTTACCTCGAATCTGTCCTGCTTCAAGTCTCGGTAGTTATGATTTCTAAAGATGGTCGATATTATCAGGAAGAGGATAAGGGCCTCGTGGGTTTTATTAGATCTGACGAAAAGTGATTTTTTTTTTTTTAATTAATATTTTTTCGAAATCTACACTTTTGTTCAAGTGTTAGACTTTTTCCAAAATTCAGTCTTTTTTTTTTTTGAATTCAGACTTTTTTCAAACTTTAGACTTTTTTCAAACTTTAGACTTTTTTTAGAATTCTGAATTTTTCTAAATTTACACTTTGTTCAAATTTTTTGACTTTTTCAAATTCAAACTTTTTTCAATCTTAAGACTTTTTAAAAAAAAAATTGTACAGGTGAAGGTTTTTAGAAAAGATATATCAAAATTCAAAAGCAGTATCAAAGAATTTGAAGCTTGAACTGTAACTTGGAATATTTCCATCTCAAGAACTCTTCACGTAGTTTTTGGACATTATAAAGTTAAACTGAAATATTTTAGACGTCATTTGCCTCTGGCGCAGAACAGACTCGGTAACGAGTGGGGAAATAAAGCAGAGAAGCAGCATCAACAGCAAGATTACAGAACAACAGATTAAAGTGGTGTAACTGTGCAAAGTCGAGAAAATACGATCAGAAAGAAAGGAAGAAGATTTGGAAGGTGATTCTGTTGGAGCAGCTGAATGGATGAAGACACTTCTAATGAACAGCTTATAGAGACTTTATGTACAGACGTATCTCAGACGGGATTATTAACCACTTCCTCTCCGTTAAATCTGACGTTTGAGTCGACTGGAGAGGGGAAGCTCCTCTGAAACATGACCTCATGTTTAGGCACAACGATGAGCGAACGTACAAAACTGTACAAAACTTTGTAAGTGCAAAAGTTGGAAGCAGAAACTACGTTTTGTATTTTCTGAAACTCTGACCTCTGACCCGGCTACATGCATCTGATACTACTTTATTGAAATATTGACCAACAGATTCTTCTTTAATGCAGATTTAGCAGAAAATGAAGAATCTCGAGCTGATTGGTCCTAGAACGAGCTGATAAAGTGGTGCAGGGATGAGTCCGAAACACTTCCTCTTCAATGGTTTTCTGGATGTGGTTTTGTTTGTTATCCGGAAATAAAGTCTGTGATTAACACAAGCTAAAGGTTCATTTCCCACAGAGATTACTTTCCGCAATAATCCAAAATCACAGAGGAATCCCATTGGACCAGGGAGATGATGCCTTCAGGGACCAACACAGAAACATCCCTGCACTTCTCTATTGATATGTACTTCATCAGAAGGATGACTAACTTGAGTTGTAAAACAGTAAATAAAGATATAATGGTGTTTTCTTCTAACCATTTATGTCTTTAAACAATCAGAATACCTTAATTGGTGATGAACAGACGCTCAGAATGAAAGGGTAAAGATGGAGCGTCCTGCAGATTCAATAAGTTCAATCGAACCATGCAGGCTGAAGGGAAGTGAGCATCAGCTGCTCTATCAATATTCACATATAGATACACTATTAACAAACAGACGTCTACTGACCGGGAGCATCAACCTGCTCCTCAAACTCTGGACAAAAACGTCTTTCAAGTTTCTACAAACACAAGACTTCAGTCTGAGCGACAACAGACAAGATCTTCTTTAAAACACGACGTCGTTAATGACTGAAACTGTTCACGTTTAATCTGGTTTGGACTTCCAGAAAATACCAACAACCGGTGTTGGCCTTTAGCGAAACCTTTTCATATGGTGTTTGGGTTGGATCTAGGGATGTCACGAGAACTTATACTCGATACCAAGTCGAAACCAAAATCCTGAACACTTGACGGTACTGGTTTTTCTAAAGTAGTGTAAGTATTGTAGCTTCCTGTAGTATCGTGAGGACTCAAGACTAACAGCATCCTGGGGATAATGAGTTTACTGCGTCCCAAACTCATCTATTGACGGAAACAATACTACATTTTCAACTACGAATCCATGTTCAAATCGGCAAGAAGGTAGCTAATGTTAGCAGTTAGTATCATGGTGCATTCAAGATCTATTCAGTAAGAAAGATTATTGGGAGAAGGTCAATTATAACCTTTTTTCAGAATTCAGGTCGAATCCAATATCCTAAAAAGTTGATGATACTGGTTTTTCGACAGTATCGCAAGTACCGTAGTTCCTGGTGGTGCCATGACATTTTCAGACTAACGGCATCCGGGGGACGATAGAAAAGTAGTTTGGGACGCAGTAAACTCACTATTTACGGAGATAATGCTACATTTTGAACAACGAATCCATGTTCAAATCGGCAAGAAGGTAGTTAAGGTTAGCAGTTAGCCGTTAGCAGTCGAAGGAGTGAATTGCACGATGATGCGTTCATGCTCTGGTAAGTAAAAATTAATGTGGGGAGAACGTAGATTATAACGTTATCATGATGTCTCCGCTGTAGTCCTGTAAATGTAGTTTTTGGTGAGAAACTTGAGTAAATTCAGATGTTTTCACAGAAGAATAAAATTGAAATTTTAGCGAATTATGACCCTAACCGAAACCAGTAGGCTAACGTTTACGGTAGTCTTTGTTAATGAATTGTTAACGTGAAACCGTTACTGGTATCGACTGTACATTTCTTTCTCGTGACATCCCTAGTTGGGAATAAGATGCCTTTTACTTTGCTTTATTGGATATTCGGCTTTTTGGAGGTTTAGTTATTTGTTTTGTTGATGAAAGACGCTAAATTCTTCATCTTCAGCTATAAACTCCTTGAAACCTTATGGTAGTTTTACGATGCACAAAAAGTGCGTAACCCTGGTTCGCTGAGTGGTTTAAGTGCTGATAAAGTCCAGATCCATCAGACTTTCAACTTCAAGACCAAATAAACCAGAGGACTTCTACTTCTTCCTGATAACGGACTTGATTTCCAACGACTCCAGGACCAAAAGCTGAGAACCGGCTGAACCAAATGTTCCTGAAGAGCCTCGAAAACATTCCTCGTCACCGGTTTGATTTTGTCTTGATTACAACTCAAGACCTTATTAAAAGTTCATCAAAACCTCTGAAGAATAAAGACGATCTGGAGCTTCATCCACTCGAGAATTGGACCTGAGCTGCAGGAATGAGTCAGCATTTCCTCACTTCCTGTCCCCTGGTCTGGAGCTCTATGGTTTTCTGGGCTAAAAATCATAATCCAAAATCACATGGAGATATCCCATTGGACCAGGGAGATTGCTACCTTCAGGGACCAACACAGAAATATGATTTTAACCTCTAAAACTCCTTCGAAATCTGCAGTTTTTGAGACGTTTGTGTGCTTGGTTGTTTCTTGAACGCTTCTTGAGTTAAACTTCTCAAATCAGAATCTCGTTAAGACACAACCCGTGTGTCCTCAAGACTCCCGAACAGTTTTCTTCCGTGATCTCCCGATGCTGTTGCTGATGATGAATCCTTTGTACAATATTTATCATTTGAGGTTCGACCTACGAGCCACGTACGACGAACCTCACAAGGAAGTCTGATGCTTCAGAGCTGCAGGAAAAACATCCAGAGATCCAAAACAGACACTTCCAATGAAGTCATAAACCAGGCTGATCAGTACTTCCTGTCGTCGCAGGAAGAGGCGTGATTACAGGAATAAGGTGCGATGGGGAGTCGATGTTCCTCCGGGGGTTTTGGAGCTGCTGGTCAGGACTTTGGGTGAGGATTATGAGGTGGTTTAGTGTCCTGGGTGGTGATGGGAGGTGAAGGGGGTGAAGGAGGGGGGAGGAGAGAGAGACAGAGGGCTGGACTGAGGACTGACTGCAGTGGGGGAGTCGACCACCGACTGAGAGACACTGTGGGAGGAAGAGAGGCGGGTAAAACATCATTATTTCACACGAATATACACAAAAATCACTTTATTAAATACTGGTTTAATTGGGTCTGTATCAGTAGGTCTCTTTGCTGTAACCATGTAAGTAAGTGGGCGTGGTCTCATGTATTTATATTTGGATAAACTAATGCTGACATTGTGTCTGAGGACACTCACCTGACGGTGTAGCTGCTGCGGTGGGGGGGGTCCGATACTCCGGCGACAAAAAGCTTCTTCGGGGGTCCGTCAGACTCGACTCCTCCTGAGAAACAACCAGGTTTACAAATATATAAAATATCTATAACTTCAAGAGGGGAGAAGCACGCTTAAGGTGGGTTCAGACAAAATCACGTGACTCTGTGTCCAACGTCCTTTAATCAAATCTCAGTTGCCCTACACAGCATTTTAGGGTCTTCTAAGTCTTTGTTTTGGTTTTAACTGGAACAAAGTATCTGTCTCTAAGAAACCAAACACAGAGCAACAAGAGAGAATATTGAGTAACTAAGCAACTAAAAAGTTCCACATCTCAACAGATAATGTGATGTAAAACACACACACACACACACACACACACACACACACACACACACACACACACACACACACACACACACACACACACACACACACACACACACACACACACACACACACACACACACACACACACACACACACACACAACACACACACACACACACACACACACACACACACACACACACACACACACACACACACACACACACACACACACACACACACACACACACACACACACACACACACACACACACACACACACACACACACACACACACACACACACACACCTTTCCTCTTGAGTGGAGTTAGTGCCGGGACTCTCACAGTTGCACTGACTGCTGGTCTGTTGGAGAATACACACAAATGTAAGCGTCCACTAAAAAAACAGAGTGAGTGTGTGTGTGTGTGTGTGTGTGTGTGCGTGTGTGTGTGTGTGTGCGTGCGTGTGTGTGTGTGTGTACCTGAACCTCCTGGTGGGAGAAGGGGAGGAGTTTGGCGTGACGCCGCTGTCCTGCGACTGGAACCACTGAAGAAGAAAAAGCCAAAATCAGTCTTATCTTCTAATATTATATTTATTAAAAAAGCATCAGATCTGGATTCAGTCTGTCTTTGATGTCCGGAGTAGATATTGTAGATATTGTAGATATTGTAGATATTGCAATACATTTTATTATATATATTTCAGTCGCAATACAAGTAATGGTTTGATATGAAACAGATTATCAAAGAAAACACTGGATTCCTTTGTTTACTTTTACTCCCGCTTCTATTGGCTAACGCTCTAACAAACTGTACGTGAAGTTTTACTGAGAGTGTGTGTAAATGAAAGTAAACGCTCACCACTGAGGCGTGGTCGTGCCACTGACTGACGGGAGCTGGGATCAGACTGGAAGCACTGGGAGAGAAGATGGTAATTAAATACCGTTTTTTAAGGTTCATTTAAAATGTAAATATCCGACTGCGTTACCTCCGTCTCTGCAGACTTCCTCTGAGCGCCGCCTCCATGTTCTCCTCCTGCAGAAACACAGCTGTTACTGTTAATCATCGCTGTTTCTACAACAAGGTGGAGGAGAGCTCTCTCCTGTCAGACTGAGATAGATAACTACAGCTCAGACTGAGAGGCTCTGATAACTACAGCTCAGACTGAGAGAGATAACGACAGCTCAGACTGAGAGGCTCTGATAACTACAGCTCAGACTGAGAGAGATAACTACAGCTCAGACGGAGAGGCTCTGATAACTACAGCTCAGACTGAGAGAGATAACTACAGCTCAGACTGAGAGGCTCTGATAGCTACAGCTCAGACTGAGAGGCTCAAATAACTACAGCTCAGACTGAGAGGCTCTGATAACTGCAGCTCAGACTGAGAGGCTCTGATAGCTACAGCTCAGACTGAGAGGCGATGATAACTACAGCTCAGACTGAGAGGCTCTGATAACTCCAGCTCAGACTGAGAGGCTCTGATAGCTACAGCTCAGACCGAGAGGCTCTGATAACTACAGCTCAGACTGAGAGGCTCTGATAACTACAGCTCAGACTGAGAGACGATGATAACTACAGCTCAGACTGAGAGAGATAACTACAGCTCAGACTGAGAGGCCCTGATAACTACAGCTTAGACTGAGAGGCGATGATAACTACAGCTCAGACTGAGAGAGATAACTACAGCTCAGACTGAGAGGCTCAGATAACTACAGCTCAGACTAAGAGGCGATGATAACTGCAGCTCAGACTGAGAGGCTCTGATAGCTACAGCTCAGACCGAGAGGCTCTGATAACTACAGCTCAGACCGAGAGGCTCTGATAGCTACAGCTCAGACTAAGAGGCTTTGATAACTACAGCTCAGACTGAGAGGCTGATAACTACAGCTCAGACTGAGAGAGATAACTAGAGCTCAGACTGAGAGGCTCTGATAACTGCAGCTCAGACTGAGAGGCTCTGATAACTACAGCTCACACTGAGAGGCTCTGATAGCTACAGTTCAGACTGAGAGGCTCTGATAACTACAGCTCAGACTGAGAGAGATAACTACAGCTCAGACTGAGAGGCTCTGATAACTACAGCTCAGACTGAGCGGCTCTGATAACTACAGCTCAGACTGAGAGGCTCTGATAACTACAGCTCAGACTGAGAGGCTCTGATAACTACAGCTCAGACTGAGAGAGATAACTACAGCTCAGACTGAGAGGCTCTGATAACTACAGCTCAGACTGAGAGGCTCTGATAACTACAGCTCAGACTGAGAGAGATAACTACAGCTCAGACTGAGAGGCTCTGATAACTACAGCTCAGACTGAGAGGCTCTGATAACTACAGCTCAGACTGAGAGGCGATGATAACTACAGCTCAGACTGAGAGGCGATGATAACTACAGCTCAGACTGAGAGAGATAACTACAGCTCAGACTGAGAGGCCCTGATAACTACAGCTTAGACTGAGAGGCGATGATAACTACAGCTCAGACTGAGAGAGATAACTACAGCTCAGACTGAGAGGCTCTGATAACTACAGCTCAGACTGAGAGGCTCAGATAACTACAGCTCAGACTAAGAGGCGATGATAACTGCAGCTCAGACTGAGAGGTTCTGATAGCTACAGCTCAGACCGAGAGGCTCTGATAACTACAGCTCAGACTGAGAGAGATGACTACAACTCAGACTGAGAGGCTCTGATAACTACAGCTCAGACTGAGAGAGATGACTACAGCTCAGACTGAGAGGCTCTGATAACTACAGCTCAGACTGAGAGAGATAACTACAGCTCAGACTGAGAGGCTCTGATAACTACAGCTCAGACTGAGAGGCTCTGATAACTACAGCTCAGACTGAGAGGCTCTGATAACTACAGCTCAGACTGAGAGGCTCTGATAACTACAGCTCAGTGAGGTAAAAGACTGAGTGTTTAGACAGTTAACTTTAGTCTAGGTTATCTCAGTGGGTCTCAAACGGTTTGGTCACAATTTATGTAAACAAGTATTTCCGAGGAACACCTTTATATGATCATTATAGGATACTAAAAAAATAAGGGAATAAATGAAAAACAGGTTTGAAATACTATATGACAGTAAAACAAGAATACAGTTTGAAAGGGGAGTGATTTGTAAAATATCCATAAAGAAAAAGTAAATCTGTTAACAGTTCTGTTTCATCTGGTGCTGAGAGATGTTTCCATAGATCTCTCATGTTGCTCTCAAAGTGCAGCAGATTGATGCTTTCAACTTAACTTTAACACTTAACTAACTAACACTTAAAACATGTTCACATGGATAGGATACTCAATACATTAGCACACTTTTTATGTCGTAAACTATGTCCATATGTTTCTGTTTTGGTGGTCGTGCAACAACCGTGCATGTATGCGCGAGTCATAGGCGCTTATAGAAAGACTGCACCCCTGCAATGTGTGTGAAAGACAAGAGACTTGACTGCATGTTTTGAAATTGAAGTTGCGTTGGTGTTTGTGTGTTGGTTGTTGACGGCAGTGTGTGCCCCCCCCCCGTGGTAAATGATTGGACTTGTTCTCGAGCCGACATTCAATTTGTTCTATAGCCGACCCCGGTCCTCCAGGCCAGGGATGAGGAACGTCAATTATCTTTAATAGATCACTGCACAGGTGAGTGGGAATTTCATTTGAATTGTGTTAATTAGAGATTAGTCCCAGCATCATATTTAAAAGAGTAGAAGAAGAAGAGTGGACTCCTCACCTGCCTCTTGAGGTCGAGTCTGTCTCCAGTCAGAGAGAACGGAGAGAGAGGGACGAGCTGCAGGACCAACAGACACTCAACTATCATATAATAATATAATATATAATATAAAATATAAAGGTTATTACAGTAGCTCTGACCTGTGAGCTGGGGTTTATTGAAACGCTGCTGCGTCGATACCGAGCCGACGACACCGGGCTGAACACCGTCATCCCGTCACTGAGAAAGCATGAATACAGATTTATAATAACATAGAGAGAGACACACAATCAAATATACAGAAAGATATCTACAACCATGCACCATCTTTTTATGCTGCTTCAAACACAAACATGTCCAAAATTGGGATCAATAAAGTACTTCTTATCTTATCTTATTACAGGATTATTTTTGAGACAATACATCGTTTTCTTTTGCAATAAAACCATTTTATATTGCAATTGTTCTCTTTAAAACAACTTACAATATCATTTATTTTACATTACTTTTTAAACATATATGTGTCGCGTGGCTCTCTGTAAGCAGTACCACCGACCTGACACTGGTGATCATGGGGGCGCTGTTCGACCTGCGCAGAGCCCCGCCAGCTGCGCCTGCGCACTGGTCCACTTCCATCCGCTCCATCCCTTTAATGTGAAAAAAAGATGTGGAATTAGTCATTTGTTTATTTAAGCTTAAAATATTTCATCCACACATGTCGCTTCCTCAAAATGCCTCCAGAATTAATGTTTTTTTGAATAACCTGGAACTCTACTCAGTTTTTTGTTCATAATGCCTTCAGTTGGAATTAATGTCATGAACTCTGATGTGATGTGGACACAAGAGGATTAGGGCAACATGTGATAACAAATATATAGGAGGTGACTAAAGGTGATTTTATTTGTTGGTTATTCAGAGATTGAAAGGTGGGGTAGGTAAGTTTGAGAAACCGGCTCGAGATACACTTGTTGTTATATTCCATGGAATGCTCTGAACATCCCGATAGCAATGAATATCTGAAGTGCTTTGAAGCCGTGGCGCTGTAGAAAGCTCGACCAATCATCTGAGCCGGCTAAAGTAACTGGATGGCCTACCTGCCTGTCAGCCTTCCATCGGCACAAACTCATCTCTGCCCTCATTGGTCATGTGCGCGTTCGTGTGTGTTGGAGGAGGGGCTCTGGAAGGAAGTGGCAGATTTTTTCCGGCTGTGTATTTTCAAATTCTAGCGCACTCGAGCTGGTTTCTCCAAAATTACCTCCCCCACCTTTAATTCAGTCGTCAAAAATGTTTGGGATGTTACCAAAAGTATACAAAACAATAATTGTGAATAATGACTTTAATCTCAGAATCTCAGTCAGGTTTCTGAGATTTTTTACACAAAAAAACAAGATCTGAAAAACTAAAATATATTTTTTAAATATTATTATTCATAGAGAAACAAAAAATACTCCAAGATTGTTTTTATCACTTTTATCACAATCTCAGAACCCTGACTGTTTCCCCAGAATTCAAAGATTAAAGTCAGATCTCAATTTATTTGTTAGACTTTTTGTCACATCCCAAAACAGTTTTCTCATATGTCCCTAACACTCTTCCGTAGATGTGCCTTTTTTGTAACAATTGTTCAATAAAGTTGAGGTTGAGTTATTTTTCCTGTCAGATTTCTGAGATTATCACAGAAAAAAATACAATATATCTTAAAAAAAATGTCTCTATAAAACTCTGAGAAAAATAAATACAATTCTAAGATTATAATTTATTTTTAAAAATCACTTTTCTAACTCCCCCAAAACTATGCGAAAACTCAACTTCAACCTCTGTTCACATCCCAACACATGTTTCCTCATATGGCCCTAACACTCTTCCGTAGGTTTTTCTGATGCATTTGAAAAAAACAGTTAATAAAGTTGAGGGAAAAAAAGAGAAACCTCGCTCCGCAGGCCCCGGCGGAGGCAGTTTCTTCTGCCGGCCTCCGAGCCCTCTGAGGCGGCGTCGAAGCTCAACTCAAGCCCGGTGGATGGAGCCCGACCCGCAGGCCTCTCAGTCCGCAGACCCAGAGTCCGGATCACCGAGCCTTTTCTCCCGCAGGAAAACACCCTTACTCCTCTCCCAGTTTCATGTAGAAAAAGTATTTAAAACGCATTAAGGAGTCCGAGCTGACACTTCCAGCCGCACAGCTGACGTGACTTAGCTGTGGAGCTAACTTGTAAAAAAAAAAAAACCCTCCAGAAAACCCCACAGCAGCTGCCCGAAAACACGCAGCCTGAGCCGGGCAGCAGTCCTCCGGGAGAGTGGGTCTCGCGATCCCCCCGAAAAACAACCGAGAAAAAAGCCCCCAAAAACCCGGATTATCAACACTTTAAAGGTTTTCCCAACATAGTCCTTCACAACATAGAGGTAGTTCTGCTACTGTGGAAACAGCGATGCCCGCCGGGCACACCTGGTACTGCAGCGCATAGAAGAGCGTTTACTCTATAGTGTGCTCAGCAGCTACAGTGCAGATATGTCAATGAAAAACTGAAGTCCTCCTCCAACAGAGCAAGATGAATATATATTTAGGACATAAAACAAATAAAATAGTGCAAGAGAATGTTTTGAGATGTGCAAATTAATACACATATAATATAAATATTGCAAGAAGAGTCTATATACAAGTACATGGAATATGATATATTAGGTAAATAATTAGCAAGATGACAAACAGATGTTCTTTAAAACGTTCAGGTGCTTATAGTCTCATGGGCTGTGGAATAAAACTGTCCCTGAGTTTGTGGAGTATTAACTAATAAGAAGCCTAATCTATTTACTGGTGAAGTTATCATACCTCTATGTAATTAAATCATTTCTAAACATGTTGTAGTGTTTATTATTCTACATAATCTATTATTATTCATTATATTATATTAGTAATCATGACAGATGGACCAGAAACCAATTATTAAACACTGAAAATGATTTACAAACCAATAATTAATACAAGTAGAGTTTATTTTATCATTTGGGTGTGTAGCATTAAAAACAAGTGTTATCATAAGAGACTTTGTAAATATATAAATAAACTATTGTTAAATAAATATATTTACTGTTTACCCCCTTATCCATAGACATGGCAGTGCTTTTAAATAAGGGTTTATATTGTGTGTATTTGAGTTTACAGTCGGTGGCTTTAACGGTGCGTCCACACGGCAGCGCTTGCCGGTGGGCGTGTCTGGCGTGCGACCAACAACCAATGACATTAATGTCCCGCCCCGGACACACAAGCACGCGGTTTAATTGGCTAGAGCTTGTACTGGCATATGATTTGATTGGCTGGCGCTTCCGTCGAAGCTTGAAAAGTTGAACTTTTCTCAACTTTCGAAGCGAGCAACTGAGGCAAAGCGACGCGACCACAATGCAGTTCGGTAAAGCGTGACGTCACCCCGTTCACGGCCCGTCCACACAGCGGCGTGCGTTGACGCTTGGAGGTGGGCGTATCTGACGCTTGGGGATTTTTTGCGAGCAACGCGACCAACAACCAATCACATGAATCTCCCGCCCCGACATACAAAGCAATAGCAATGTTAAAACGAAGTAAATATAAAATCTAAATCTAAACTGGATATAAACTCCCCAAACAGAAGAAAACCTACCAGTTTCACCCACTGACTCTGCCACCTCCCTCCATGCCTCGCTCCTCCGGTTTGTATCCCGGTAGATCAACAGAGACTGATCATACAGCACCGGGTGATTCACTACCGCTATAATGAATTTTCCCTCAATTTTTTTGAATATGAGGAAATGACCTGCGTAGTCTCTCCCAGCATACACGCGGTTTGATTGGCTAGCGCTTGTACTGGCAGATTTGCATAAACGGGATTTCATTGGCTGACGCTTCTGCCGAGGCGCCAAAAGTTGAACATTGCTCAACTTTTGAAGCCAGCAACGCTCCACGTCGCTTCCCACAATGCAGTTCGGCTAAAAGTGACGTCACCCCATTCAAAGTGAATGGGCAGCAGCGTTGGAAGCTTCAACGCACGCCGCTGGTTTTAAATGTGCGATAGAAAGAAAGTTGGATGTGATTGATTCATATTTTACAAAGCACTTTTCTGTATACATTTTATGGAAGCTGTGGGATAATAACCAGTTAAAGGTGAATTAAAATGAACTTAATCGGCTGGTGTTATAGAAGGAATTTGTCCTAAAAAAACAGTTTCAGTAAAATGTAAAAATACTTATATAAACAATTGTTCACTTCTCAAATCAAGAGTTTGCCAAAAATAATGATTAGGTTTTAGTTTGAAAGTTACATTTGTTTAAAGTTACATGAACACACACACACACACACACACACACACACACACACACACACACACACACACACACAGACACAGACACACACAGACACACAGACACACACACAGACAGACAGACAGACAGACAGACAGACAGACAGACAGACAGACAGACAGACAGACAGACAGACAGACAGACAGACAGACAGACAGACAGACAGACAGACAGACAGACAGACAGACAGACAGACAGACAGACACACACACACACACACACACACACACACACACACACACACACACACACACACACACACACACACTTCAGAAATGGTTTTGATTATACAGTGACTCAACTTAAAGTAGCACACACTGTTATATCTGTATATTAAAGGAGTTCTTTGTTGTTGTGACACTAAACCCTAAACTGCTGTTCTCAGGATCCCAAAACCCTCCATCTGCTTTGAATCGTCATCTCCAAAAAATTGTGAAACTGGACACCAAGTCTCCGTTAACCCTTCACTGCCTGTCCACTAAAACACACAGACACAAACCAACATGGAGAAAAATAATACAAAATAAACATTATTTTCAGAAATGATTTTGTTCATGAAGAAGTTTCTGTGATTTTCTAAAAGGACAACAACAAAAAATGCAAAAAAAACCGTTCTGTATGATCGAGATAATAACACAGAATATTCAATAATGGTCTGAATTGTATCCATTTAAATTACACAATGTCCCTGTCATTAAGTCTTTATTTAACAAAACTATGTATTGTCATTATTTCAAGATATTAAGACATCGTTTTAAGATTTTAACTAATTATTTTCTGATATAGAGGTATTTGGACAATATTTTGAGATATTAAGTTATTCTGATTACATACTAAGTCATTATTTTGAGAGTATCAGTTTTTTACTCTTTATTTTGAGATTTTACGTCATTATTTCAGGATATAAAGTTATTTTTTAGAGATATTACGGTATTATTTTGAGATATTGTGTCAATATCTTTTTTTTAAAACATACTTTTTTATTATTAATTAATTCAACATTGTTACACTTGATATTTTTTCCACTTTTTAATAATATTGGCAGGAGTGGTCTTCCATACCGGCTCCCCTTCCCGGTGCTGCCCAGTTTTCTTACCCGATTTGAAGCTCCGTCACTCGGGGAGAGAAGAGGTTAAAGAGGGGGTGGAGGAAGGGGGAGGAAGGGGGAGGAAGAGGAAGAAGGTCCGGCCTCCTTCACACGGAGTTTAACTTCTTTAAAACAACTTTAACTCACTTTTTATTTCATGTTAAAATTAAACCTCCGCGAATATTTCCAGGCAGCGGTGAGCGCCAGGCAGCGAGGCCGGCGAAGGGACGCTATTCCCGGGGAGAAAAACAGCGATATGTCGGGGGGGATCCAGGCCGAGTGGATGTGACTGAGAGGTGGGGAAAACCCTCCGAGACTCCCCGCTCCTGGTAAACAACATGCGGGGGGAATTTAACCACTTTAACCAGAGTTTAAAAAGCTCCTGTTTTTAAGTTTAAAGAAGTTTGAGACCAGATCTGAGATGTGTGTTGATGCAGCTGTTAACAACAGGAAAACAGACTTAACATATTAGAAACAAGTAGAGAAATAGTCACTTGAAAATCTAAGAAACTAGTGATTATTATGCATTTTCTTGGCTTTAAAAAAAATTACTTTATTAAAGTATCTCTGACAATAGAAAAATAAAGTAATATGTACACACTGGTTAGTTTATATAACACGAGTGTTACATTATTTTATGTGAAATAGCATTTGACTTTAAGTTCTGACAGAATGGGATAAAAAAAATGGGCTCTGTTGTGATTGGTTCACCGCTTAGTGATGTCCCGCCCCTAAGCCTATCATGCACAATGTGTTGGAGCGCTAGCCAATAGGAGCGTGAGAGTTACACAGTGATGTCACTATGTTCTTGTTTAAGATTTTTTGTTCTCGTTTCCAGAGAGGAGAATGGAGGGAGAGAAAGAGACGGCGGAGGAGAAGGAGGAAGAAGAGGAAGAGGAGGAAGAAGATCTTCATCATATCGCAGCAATATCCATAGACAACCAGGAACTTCCCATCATGCACTGGGAGGATTTGAGCCAGCGAATAGCAGAGCTGGAGCAGCAGGAGAGGAGCGAGAGGTCAAAGGTCAGTGACCACGATCGCGAGTACGCTTGTTTCGTAGCACATGTCTTCCGAGCGTCTTGCTTCAGAAGCGAGGCAAGAATCCTTCCTGGCATTCGGAAAACAAAGAGTGGAACAGGTTAGCAAGTGTGCAGGTGTGCGTCATATGAGAGGCCCCGCCTCTTACATTTTCCGCCACAGATTTGGGGAAATTGGTCCGTGCGCAAAGCATTGTGGGGATTTGAAGACCGCGGAGTCTACACAAGACTCCGCCAGGCTCGGTAAAATTCCAAGCATGCTGGAACAGTCCTTCGGCGCCACTCGATGACGTAGTATGCTTGAAATAGTGGCTCTGGAGCAGCTTTACTCGACATTGAGAAACACCCAGGGTTTCTGTTAGTGGTGTTAAATCTCTAAAGACTACATTTCCCACAATGCTCGGTGTCCTCAAAGACGACTTCCTGTCAGCGTTGCTTATTGAAAATGCAATGTCTGGAACGTCATGCATATTTAAGTTTTAGCATGAATTCCCCATCGCTCTGATTCACTATTAAGCGCAGCAGAGGATCATGGGTAATGTAGTTTTTATAGCTGTTTCGCCAGACAGAGAAAAACTGATTTGAGTTCATTATTGGAGGATATTTTTAATATTGAATATTTTAATGTGATTAAATTGTCTTTACGTCTATGATTATAAAATATTAAAAGTGGACAGGACTTTATAAATATTCACTTCTTCCTCCTTTTTCTACATTACATATCTTATTATGTTGTTAATCCAGGTGTTCTTGTTTTGTTTTATTATTAATATTCTGTATTTATTTAATTTTACACAGACTAAATAAAACATATAATCTAAATTGAGTGTTTTCACAATATGTTTCATATTTTTCTTCCTAATATTGTAATAAATCAATTAAATGATAATGTTGTTATTGTTGTTTACCTGCAGAGGCCGGAGGAGGGCGAGTGGAGAGACGTTTGGGAGGAAGACGAGGAAGACTTAAGGAAGTGCCGCGTCGCTGTCGTGTCGTCACGGTAACACAACAACAACAACAACAATATATTTTAATTAATTTATATTTTATTCTTTTAATCATATTTTTATTTTCATTTATTCTACAAGGATTTCCAGGAAGATAAAAGTAATATTAACGTTTAAATACTTGAAATAACTTGTTTTGTTATTATTAATAACCTTTGTTTTTATTCCTTAAAATGTATTATAATAATAATACATTTGTGAATTTATTTCAACATAACTACATTTTGTAGTTTCAAAAACTACAGAAAAAGAAGAATAAATAAAATCATTTAGAAATTTAGGAGAATATTAAAAAAATGGAAATTAATTTCTCTGCTAGTAATAATAATAATAATAATAATAATATTAGAGGATGACGATAATAGATAATAATATTAGTCCTTGTTTGTTTCCTGTTTACAGATTTCAGCACCACAAAAACCTGCAGCTGTGCTTCGTCAACAACAGCGACAGCGAGGAGGACGAGGAGAAAGAGGTGATTATACAACACATATTTTAGAAAGATGCAGGAACATCAGGCTGGTCTGCAGCGACGCTTTTCCATTAGAGCTTTAAAGGCGTCTGTAAAACTACAGATAACAAATGAGACTTTAATCTGGCATTGTTTTAAACGTCCTAATAATACCTTAAAGCAGAGATCGTACCCATTACCGCTTTGGGGGTTTAATAACTGTCTGCCTCTATGTAAGTTCAGGCATTACGTTTTCGTGTTTCCTTACGTCTCATATCTGTGAATATCTCAGAACGGGCATTTCTTCAGATCTGCCACAAACGCTCTCTGTGACCGAAGCACGAACACACTGTTGGATATGAAGGATGATTCCTCTCATTGTGACTTTCATCTCGACGTCCTTGTATTCCGTGCTGCAGTAACTAAACTAAAGTTACCTTCACTTTCCGTCAGGTTTCAAAGGGAGCGGGGCAGAATGGATGCCGAGGCGCCGGATTGAAACAGGAAGTGGTGTCGGCTCTGAGGAGGCTGAGGGACGAGCTGCTGGCCAATCAGAGAGAGGGAGTGGTGAGTCACACACATCCTTTACTCCAGTAAGAGTAAAGAGGCTTTGAAATGTACTTCAGTAAAAAGTACCCATAACTAGCAGCTGCTTTAAAGAGTACCTGACCTCCCTTTATATTAATAGAACAATAATGTCATTGTTAGCTAATGAATGTTTCCATGCTGAACAACGGCAACATGACAACGTTTCCATTGGTCCCTCTTCTTTAGAGAAGACCAGGAAATGATGGATACACGGATCGTGTTCAAATCAATAGGCACGCAATGACTCTAAAGAATAATGATCACGCATTCAAACACACATTCAGACTAAAGGAACCAGCTGTTTGGAAAATGGTAGAAGAGCAAGTAGAAAGTACAAGTATTTGAGTTCAACATGTGAGAAGTAGAAAGTACAGGTATTTGAGTTCAACATGTAAGAAGTAGAAAGTACAGGTATTTGAGTTCAACATGTAAGAAGTAGAAAGTACAGGTATTTGTGTTCAACATGTAAGAAGTAGAAAGTACAGGTATTTGTGTTCAACATGTAAGAAGTAGAAAGTACAGGTATTTGTGTTCAACATGTAAGAAGTAGAAAGTACAGGTATTTGAGTTTTCAACATGTAAGAAGTAGAAAGTACAGGTATTTGAGTTCAACATGTAAGAAGTAGAAAGTACAGGTATTTGAGTTCAACATGTAAGAAGTAGAAAGTACAGGTATTTGTGTTCAACATGTAAGAAGTAGAAAGTACAGGTATTTGAGTTCAACATGTAAGAAGTAGAAAGTACAGGTATTTGAGTTCAACATGTAAGAAGTAGAAAGTACAGGTATTTGTGTTCAACATGTAAGAAGTAGAAAGTACAGGTATTTGAGTTCAACATGTAAGAAGTAGAAAGTACAGGTATTTGAGTTCAACATGAGAGAAGTAGAAAGTACAGGTATTTGGGTTCAACATGTAAGAAGTAGAAAGTACAGGTATTTGAGTTCAACATGTAAGAAGTAGAAAGTACAGGTATTTGAGTTCAACATGTAAGAAGTAGAAAGTACAGGTATTTGAGTTCAACATGAGAGAAGTAGAAAGTACAGGTATTTGGGTTCAACGTGTAAGAAGTAGAAAGTACAGGTATTTGGGTTCAACATGTGAGAAGTAGAAAGTACAGGTATTTGTGTTCAACATGTGAGAAGTAGAAAGTACAGGTATTTGGGTTCAACGTGTAAGAAGTAGAAAGTACAGGTATTTGGGTTCAACATGTGAGAAGTAGAAAGTACAGGTATTTGAGTTCAACATGTAAGAAGTAGAAAGTACAGGTATTTGAGTTCAACATGAGAGAAGTAGAAAGTACAGGTATTTGGGTTCAACAGTGTAGAAGTAGAAAGTACAGGTATTTTGAGTTCAACATGATAGAAGTAGAAAGTACAGGTATTTGTGTTCAACATGTGAGAAGTAGAAAGTTACAGGTATTGGGTTCAACATGTGAAGAAGTAGAAAGTACAGGTATTTGTGTTCAACATGTGAGAAGTAGAAAGTACAGGTATTTGAGTTCAACATGTAAGAAGTAGAAAGTACAGGTATTTTGAGTTCAACATGTGTAAGAAGTAGAAAGTACAGGTATTTGGTTCAACATGTAAGAAGTAGAAAGTACAGGTATTTGTGTTCAACATGTGAGAAGTAGGAAAGTTACAGGTATTTGAGTTCAACATGTAGAAGTAGAAAGTACAGGTATTTGAGTTCAACATGTAAGAAGTAGAAAGTACAGGTATTTGTGTTCAACATGTAAGAAGTAGAAAGTACAGGTATTTGTGTTCAACATGTAAGAAGTAGAAAGTACAGGTATTTGTGTTCAACATGTAAGAAGTAGAAAGTACAGGTATTTGGTTCAACATGTAAGAAGTAGAAAGTACAGGTATTTGTGTTCAACATGTAAGAAGTAGAAAGTACAGGTATTTGTGTTCAACATGTAAGAAGTAGAAAGTACAGGTATTTGAGTTCAACATGTAAGAAGTAGAAAGTACAGGTATTTGTGGTTCAACATGTAAGAAGTAGAAAGTACAGGTATTTGAGTTCAACATGTAAGAAGTAGAAAGTACAGGTATTTGAGTTCAACATGTAAGAAGTAGAAAGTACAGGTATTTGAGTTCAACATGTAAGAAGTAGAAAGTACAGGTATTTGGTTCAACATGTAAGAAGTAGAAAGTACAGGTATTTGTGTTCAACATGTAAGAAGTAGAAAGTACAGGTATTTGAGTTCAACATGTAAGAAGTAGAAGTACAGGTATTTGTGTTCAACATGTAAGAAGTAGAAAGTACAGGGTATTTGAGTTCAACATGTAAGAAGTAGAAAGTACAGGTATTTGGGTTCAACATGTAGTCCATTGTAAGAAGTAGAAAGTACAGGTATTTGAGTTCAACATGTAAGAAGTAGAAAGTACAGGTATTTGTGTTCAGAATGTAACAAGTAGAAAGTACAGGTAAAAAAGTCGTCAGAAAAATTTGTAGTGGAGGAAAGTACTGATACCAGAAACATGTACTTAAGTACAGTAACAAAGTATTTGTTCTCCACTACTTCCCACCTCTGGATATAACAGCTATGAAAATAACAATTTCCGAAGTGAATCTGACGTCAGAGCTGTCAATGAGAGACAGACCGTGTGAGATTTGTCAGACTGTAAACAGATTTGTAACTGTTGAAACATATTGCGTACTTGCCTCTCAAACAGAGTTCATCAGTGTTATATAAAGGGAGAACATCAGAATATGTATCAAAATATTCATATTGCTAATAAAAGTTTACGACAAATACAGGCATAATATCCTTTTTATCCACGTATAGCTAGTTGATAAAAGCGGATTTCATATGATTTTCTAGGGCTGCTCGAATTATGGCAAAAATCATAATCACGATTATTTTGGTCAATAATTGATATCACGATTATTAATACGATTATTCATTGACTTTGAAAACATCCATTTATTGAACTTAAAACAAATCATTAATTGAACAGTATGTTTTTAACTGTTGAACGTATAATTCAACTGAAAAACCAACACAAAATCTAATAAATGATATATTTAAATAAATAATATCAAAGTAATAAATACCAATAAACAAGATCAACAAATATTTTGGAGCGCACTTCCACAAGCTACTAAACATATATAAATATTATACATAAATTAGACTAAAAACTAATTAGATCAAATATGTTGTAGTGCACTGTCACAACCTAGCAAAGCTAAATAATACGATTATCTTGTTTTGTAATTGTGGCAGGCCAAAATCGTAATTGCGATTAAAATACGATTAATTGCACAGCCCTATGATTTTCTGTATCTTTCTGTTTGTGATCAGATCCAAGTCACATTATGTAAAGAGCCATCTTCTGAATTGGGAAACGAGCCTGCATGACTCACTTAATGTGTACATTTCCAGTAAACGGTACAGGAAGGAACACAAAGGGAAACGACTGCTCTGACTAATTCAATTTGTGTAGGAAATAAAATGTGAAACGGGGCTATTTGTAGAGGCAAGAAGACTGGCTCATTATCTAGCAAGGCCACTGCTTCATCTCTGTCACTTAGCGATGAGTCTATTCAATTCACATATTAATGCGAAACGTAATAAAGACGGGTTTGTTCGGAGCGTTCTAAGGTCAGACGACGGCCTCTGAGTCCCTCATTAAGAATCTGCTCAGGAACTGAAACTCATGACTAAACATTCCTCTCATACCTCCTGTTATCTTCTGTGTGTGTGTGTGTGTGTGTGTGTGTGTGGGTGTGTGTGTGTGGGGTGTGTGGTGTGTGTGTGTGTGTGTGTGGTGTGGGTGTGGTGGTGTGTGGGTGTGTGTGGTGGTGTGTGTGGGTGTGTGTGTGTGGGTGTGTGTGTGTGTGTGTGGTGTGTGTGTGTGTGTGTGTGTGTGTGTGTGTGTGTGTGTGTGTGTGTGTGTGTGGGTGTGTGTGTGTGTGTGTGTGTGTGTGTGTGTGGGTGTGTGGTGTGTGTGTGTGTGTGTGTGTGTGTGTGTGTGTGTGTGTGTGGTTCTCTTGTGTATTAGGTCCAGATGTGTTTCTGATCTCAGTGGATGAGAGAGCCAAAACATGATCAGCAGTTTTCTCAGCCTCTCTCCCACCGCCGGGGGTTACATCACAGGTGACTCTCTCTCTTTATCTCACACACACACCCTCACACACCCTCACAGTAAGGACAGATGATGACATAAACAAGGGCAAGGTCCTGAGTGCTTCGATGTGTGGTAAGAAAAACACACACCATGAATTAAGGAAACTTAAATTGAGAACATGTTTTACGTCACACACACACACACACACACACACACACACACAGACAGACAGACCCTCACAGTAAGGAGAGATTATGACATGAACAAGGTCACTCAAAGTCCTCTGTGTGGTATTAAAACACACAACATGAATTAAGGGAACAAAAATTGAGAAAAAAATGTACTTCTCTCTCTAACACACACACACACACACACACACACACACACACACACACACACACACACACACACACACACCACACACACCACACACACACACACACACACACACACACACACACACACACACACACACAGTAAGGAGAGATGTCCTCAGTGCTTGGATGTGTGGTATTAAGAACACACACCATGTATTAAGTAAACTTAAATTGATTGAGGACAAAACGTTAAATTACATTTTTTCAGGTCAATTATAAAAACCACAATGAACCTCCTGCAGTTGATTGTTTTTCTATTAGTCATTCGACAAATCCATTATTGTTTTTTAACGGCCCAGTAAGATCGTAAAAGATAATTGGTTTGGTGCTGGTGTTATTTTGGTTCAACGCACATGATTATATATTGAAATGGTTTCTTTGGTCCAATTAGGGGTTTAACATCTTAAAATATACCGTTAGTTAATGTAGAAGAGAAATAACGTTGGACATTTGATGTTGTTTATCAAACATTTCTACTAATTAACAGTAGCGTGGCGTGGGGAAAAATGTAGGGGAAGCCCATTTTTTGGGCGAGGGGGGGGTGGTCAATAACGTAACCAGATGGAGTGATTACAGCGCCCGGTATCATTTTACACACATTTGTATCACACAGATGCAGGACTTGCACACGCCTGTTATCTAACCGAAAGGTCCGCACGCACTCTGCAGCTGAAACTCTCTCCTTATTAATTTAAGCATTTTACTTATTAATGTATGCAGACAATCACACAATCTGTGTGATTTTTGGATTTACCGTGCCTCTCAATTGCCCGTGACAGGTTGACAGGTCGATGAATCCTGAAGTTGCCCAAGGATTGTTCAGGGAGCACGAATCCTTGTCAAAAAGAAGACATGGCCAGCAAAATAGACGCTGAAGTTTAGCGCTTCCAGTTAGCCACTCCGTGCGGACATAATTATCCTCATTGAACGTCCGATTCTCTCCCTTTTTCCTCTGTGTACACACAGCTCGAGTGCGAGCATTGGCCTGTCATCTGATTTAATTTTCAGTTGCTGCTGTAGCGGAAGTTTAGTAAAGTTATGTTTGATTAAGTACGCCAAATCTCCTCCCTCCATAATGCTTCATTTGCTTGATAATTTCTAACGGCGGTGATGACAGTTACAGTATTAAAACTGATGTTGATGTGATTTGATTGGATGGCAGTGTCCAATCAAATCGCCAGCCGCCTCTGAAGGGAAGCAAGAGGCGGCTGGCTTCCCTTGGCATGGCCCTGACCAATCACAGGTTGGCAGGGGCATCACGTGGGCCTCATCTGATTGGTCAATCCCTCAATTTCTTTTCACCAAAGGAAGTCAGATTCTGCTGGCCTCCTCTCGCAACAGAGAGTGCAATCTACTGTTTCACCATAACATCTAGAGGGGCGCTGTTTGTTTCACTCTTTGTAAAATACTCAATGAGAATGGGGGAGAGACGGGCCGGCAGCAACACACAGCAAAGGAGAATGATCGAAACAAAACAAAGTGTTTTTATTTATTTATTTAAATTATAACTACAATCCGAAAAAAACAGGGGAAGCCTGGCTTCCCTTGGCCTCCGGGAGAAAACGCCACTGCTAATTAATAAACTCAAGAAAGATCACAATCACATATACTTAAATTATCGCGTTTATTTTGTTCCATTTAAGACTGAAATAAAATCGAAGATAAATAAATATAATATAATATAAACATAATAAATTAAAGTAAAAGGTCCAATAAAAAATCTGATAAAATACAAATAATAAATATTATGTACCCTAAGTCCTACCCTAAGTCCTACCCTAAGTCCTACCCTAAGTCCTACCCTAACGGTACGTCCACACGGCAGCGTCGCGTTGAAGCTTGCCGGTGGACGTGTCTGGCATGCGACCAACAACCAATCACATGAATCTCCCGCCCCGGACACACAAGCACGCGGTTTGATTGGCTAGAGCTTGTACTGGCATATGATTTGATTGGCTGGCGCTTCCGTCGACGCTTGAAAAGTTGAACTTTTCTCAACTTTCGAAGCGAACGACGGAGGCAAAGCGATGCGACGGAACCACAATGCAGTTCGGCAAAGCGTGACGTCACCACATTCAAAGGGAATGGGAAGCGTCTCCGTTGAAGCAACGCACGCTGCCGTGTGGACGGGCCGTAAGACTTAAAGATAAAATCCAATTTAGATGTTTGGGCTTTAGCTTTCTTCACTTCTAAAGAGGCCTTTCTTCTTCTTCCTCTTTTTTGTCGTCTGATCTCACTTCCTGTTTCTTTTCGTCTCTCAAGGCGACCAAGCCAGGAACTTCTTCCTCCAATCAGGCCTGTCTCCTCCCATCCTGGCCCAAATCTGGTGAGTAACACAACCCGGACATGTTACACACACACACACACCACACACACACACACACACACACACACACACACACACACACACACACACACCACACACACACCACACACACACACACACACACAGCACACACACACACACACACACACCATCTCAGTTAAATCCCTTCATTTACAGAAATCATGATGATGCTTACCTTTAATAAGTCTTAAAGGTCACCTATTTGGCAAAATCCTCTTCTCCATGTCTCTTCTACATCAACATGTGTCCCCTCTTCTTCATGTCTCTTCTACATCAACATGTGTCCCCTCTTCTTCATGTCTCTTCTACATCAACATGTGTCCCCTCTTCTTCATGTCTCTTCTACATCAGCATGTGTCCCCTCTTCTTCATGTCTCTTCTACATCAACATGTGTCCAGCTCTTCTTCATGTCTCTTCTACATCAAACATGTGTCCCCTCTTCTTCATGTCTCTTCTACATCAACATGTGTCCCTCTTCTTCATGTCTCTTCTACATCAACATGTGTCCCCTCTTCTTCATGTCTCTTCTACATCAACATGTGTCCCCTCTTCTTCATGTCTCTTCTACATCAACATGTGGCCCTCTCTTCATGTCTCTTCTACATCAACATGTGTCCCCTTTCCTCCGGTCTCTTCTACATCAACATGTGTCCCCTCTTCTTCATGTCTCTTCTACATCAACATGTGTCCCCTCTTCTTCATGTCTCTTCTACATCAACATGTGTCCCCTCTTCTTCATGTCTCTTCTACATCAACATGTGTCCCCTCTTCTTCATTATCTATACATCAACATGTGTCCCCTCTTCTTCATGCTTCTCCTCATCAACATGTGTCCCCTCTTCTTCATGTCTCTCTACTCAACATGTGTCCCCTCTTCTCCATGTCTCTTCTACATCAACATGTGTCCCCTCTTTCTCCATGTCTCTTCTACGTCAACATGTGTCCCCTCTTCTTCATGTCTCTTCTACATCACATGTGTCCCCTCTTCTCCATGTCTCTTCTACATCAACATGTGTCCCCTCTTCTTCATGTCTCTTCTACATCAACATGTGTCCCCTCTTCTTCATGTCTCTTCTACATCAACATGTGTCCCCTCTTCTCCATGTCTCTTCTACATCAACATGTGTCCCCTCTTCTTCATGTCTCTTCTACATCAACATGTGTCCCCTCTTCTCCATGTCTCTTCTACATCAACATGTGTCCCCTCTTCTTCATGTCTCTTTTACATCAACATGTGTCCCCTCTTCTTCACGTCTCTTCTATATCAACATGTGTCCCCTCTTCTTCACGTCTCTTCTACATCAACATGTGTCCCCTCTTCTCCATATCTCTTCTACATCAACATGTGACCCCTCTTCTCCATGTCTCTTCTACATCAACATGTGTCCCCTCTTCTTCATGTCTCTTCTACATCAACATGTGACCCCTCTTCTTCATGTCTCTTCTACAAACATGTGTCCCCTCTTCTCATGTCTCTTCTACATCAACATGGTCCCCTCTTCTTCATGTCTCTTCTACATCAACATGTGACCCCTCTTCTTCATGTCTCTTCTACATCAACATGTGTCCCCTCTTCTTCATGTCTCTTCTACATCAACATGTGACCCTCTTCTTCATGTCTCTTCTACATCAACATGTGTCCCCTCTTCTTCATGTCTCTTCTACATCAACATGTGACCCCTCTTCTTCATGTCTCTTCTACATCAACACGTGTCCCCGCTCTTTCATGTCTCTTCTACATCAACATGTGTCCCCTCTTCTTCATGTCTCTTCTACATCAACATGTGACCCCTCTTCTTCATGTCTCTTCTACATCAACATGTGTCCCCTCTTTTCATGTCTCTTCTACATCAACATGTGACCCCTCTTCTTCATGTCTCTTCTACATCAACATGTGTCCCCTCTTCTTCATGTCTCTTCTACATCAACATGTGTCCCTCTTCTTCATGTCTCTTCTACATCAACATGTGACCCCTCTTCTTCATGTCTCTTCTACATCAAACATGTGTCCCCTCTTCTTCATGTCTCTTCTACATCAACATGTGATCCCCTCTTCTTCCTGTCTCTTCTACATCAACATGTGTCCCTCTTCTTCATGTCTCTTCTACATCAACATGTGTCCCCTCTTCTTCATGTCTCTTCTACATCAACATGTGTCCCCTCTTCTTCATGTCTCTTCTACATCAACATGTGTCCCTCTTCTTCATGTCTCTTCTACATCAACATGTGTCCCCTCTTGCTTCATAGCAGGTGTCTCTTCTACTACATCAAACATGTGTACCCCTCTTCTTCATGCTTCTCTCTTCTACATCAACATGTGATCCCCTCTTCTTCATGTCTCTTCTACATCAACATTGGTTCCCCCTCTTCTTCATGTCTCTTCTACATCAAACATGTGTCCCCTCTTCTTCATGTCTCTTCTACATCAACATGTGTCCCCTTCTTCTTCAGTCTCTTCTACATCAACATGTGTCCCCTCTTCTTCATGTCTCTTCTACATCAACATGTGTCCCCTCTTCTTCATGTCTCTTCTAATCAACATGTGTCCCCTCTTCTTCATGTCTCTTCTACATCAACATGTGTCCCCTCTTCTTCATGTCTCTTCTACATCAACATGTGTCCCCTCTTCTTCATGTCTCTTCTACATCAACATGTGTCCCCTCTTCTTCATGTCTCTTCTACATCAACAGGTGTCCCCTCTGTGGAAAGACACTCTGAAAGTCTCAGGAACAAAGATTCTCTCTCTTTTTGATCCATTTCTATAAAAACCTGTCTGAAAATGAGCTGATCAGATTTTGGCCACTTTATGATGTCATAACGATGTGTTGTCTTGTGTAACCATTAGCCAATCAGCAACCAAGGTAACCCCCCCCCCCCCCCCCCCCCTTATCACCTGAATCTCCTCCTAGAGCACTATTGAGTTCTTTGTAACCAAATGTCTCTCAGAGGGGCGTGGGGAGGGGCTCCTTATTTTCATCTAAAGTAACAGACAGAGAATCAGCATTTTTTAAACAAGGCTGAAACAGAGGGGATTATGGGTAATGCTGCAATGATCTGTTTGGTGTTTCAGCCAATCAGAGACAGGTTCTGGATATATCTGAGACCTATAATGTATTGATGAAAAACAGTATAATAGAGGACCTTTAAATTCAGACAACTTGGTTTTTTGCATCTTTATTTGAACTTTCCTCTGTGTTTCTTAAAGGGCTCTGGCTGATATGAACAGTGATGGCCGTATGGACATCCACGAGTTCTCCATCGCCATGAAACTCATAAAACTGAAGCTCCAGGGTCACCCTCTCCCCTCCTCTCTTCCTCCCAGTATGATAACACCGCTGGCTCTCCCCCCACAGAGCGGCTTCGGTAAGAAACCAGACAGAAATACCTCAGAGGGCAAAAGTACACACATCCTTTACTCAAGTAGAAGTACAGATACTCGTGTTTAAAAATACTCTGGTGAAAGTAGAAGTACTGACTAAACTTCTTTACTCAAGTCAAAGTAAAGAGGCTTTGAAATGTGCTTCAGTAAAAAGTACCCATAACTAGCAGCTGTTTTAAAGAGTACCTGACCTCCCTTTATATTAATAGAACAATAATGTCATTGTTAGCTAATGAATGTTTCCATGCTGAACAACGGCAACATGACAACGTTTCCATTGGTCCCTCTTCTTTAGAGAAGACCAGGAAATGATGGATACACGGATCGTGTTCAAATCAATAGGCACGCAATGACTCTAAAGAATAATGATCACGCATCAAACACACATTCAGACTAAAGGAACCAGCTGTTTGGGAAATGAGAGAAGTAGAAAGTACAGGTATTTGAGTTCAACATGTGAGAAGTAGAAAGTACAGGTATTAGTGTTCAACATGAGAGAAGTAGAAAGTACAGGTATTTGAGTTCAACATGTAAGAAGTAGAAAGTACAGGTATTTGAGTTCAACATGTAAGAAGTAGAAAGTACAGGTATTTGAGTTCAACATGTGAGAAGTAGAAAGTACAGGTATTTGAGTTCAACATGTAATAAGTAGAAAGTACAGGTATTTGAGTTCAACATGTAAGAAGTAGAAAGTACAGGTATTTGAGTTCAAACATATGAGAAGTAGAAAGTACAGGTATTTGTGTTCAACATGTGAGAAGTAGAAAGTACAGGTATTTGTGTTCAACATGTGAGAAGTAGAAAGTACAGGTATTTGAGTTCAACATGTAAGAAGTAGAAAGTACAGGTATTTGAGTTCAACATGTAAGAAGTAGAAGTACAGGTATTTGTGTTCAACATGTGAGAAGTAGAAAGTACAGGTATTTGAGTTCAACATGTAAGAAGTAGAAAGTACAGGTATTTGTGTTCAACATGTAAGAAGTAGAAAGTACAGGTATTTGAGTTCAACATGTGAGAAGTAGAAAGTACAGGTATTTGAGTTCAACATGTAAGAAGTAGAAAGTACAGGTATTTGTGTTCAAAGTGTAAGAAGTAGAAAGTACAGGTATTTGGGTTCAAAGTGTAAGAAGTAGAAAGTACAGGTATTTGGGTTCAAAGTGTAAGAAGTAGAAAGTACAGGTATTTGAGTTCAACATGTAAGAAGTAGAAAGTACAGGTATTTGAGTTCAACATGTAAGAAGTAGAAAGTACAGGTATTTGAGTTCAACATGTAAGAAGTAGAAAGTACAGGTATTTGTGTTCAACATGTAAGAAGTAGAAAGTACAGGTATTTGGGTTCAAAGTGTAAGAAGTAGAAAGTACAGGTATTTGAGTTCAACATGTAAGAAGTAGAAAGTACAGGTATTTGAGTTCAACATGTAAGAAGTAGAAAGTACAGGTATTTGAGTTCAACATGTAAGAAGTAGAAAGTACAGGTATTTGTGTTCAACATGTAAGAAGTAGAAAGTACAGGTATTTGTGTTCAACATGTGAGAAGTAGAAAGTACAGGTATTTGTGTTCAACATGTGAGAAGTAGAAAGTACAGGTATTTGGGTTCAACATGTAAGAAGTAGAAAGTACAGGTATTTGTGTTCAACATGTGAGAAGTAGAAAGTACAGGTATTTGAGTTCAACATGTAAGAAGTAGAAAGTACAGGTATTTGTGTTCAAAGTGTAAGAAGTAGAAAGTACAGGTATTTGTGTTCAACATGTAAGAAGTAGAAAGTACAGGTATTTGGGTTCAACATGTAAGAAGTAGAAAGTACAGGTATTTGGGTTCAACATGTAAGAAGTAGAAAGTACAGGTATTTGTGTTCAACATGTAAGAAGTAGAAAGTACAGGTATTTGTGTTCAACATGTAAGAAGTAGAAAGTTCAGGTATTTGTGTTCAACATGTAAGAAGTAGAAAGTACAGGTATTAGTGTTCAACATGTAAGAAGTAGAAAGTACAGGTATTTGTGTTCAACATGTAAGAAGTAGAAAGTACAGGTATTAGTGTTCAACATGTAAGAAGTAGAAAGTACAGGTATTTGTGTTCAACATGTAAGAAGTAGAAAGTTCAGGTATTAGTGTTCAACATGTAAGAAGTAGAAAGTACAAGTATTTGAGTTCAACATGTAAGAAGTAGAAAGTTCAGGTATTAGTGTTCAACATGTAAGAAGTAGAAAGTACAGGTATTCCCACCTCTTGTATTTACCTATGTATTTATTTATTTGAGAAGGGAAAATGCACATTAATTAACATGGGCATTTGAGTCCATCATGTAAATATGCCCGATTTAGCTGTAAAGCCTAATTAATCTGCAGTCTTTAGAGAGCATACAAACGCACATAAGCACAGAATGAAACACATGAGAAGAATTATAGCACATAGTCAAAAGACACATGTATTTATTTGTTCAAATTTCATTACCTTACAATCATGACATGTGTTTCCTGCAACACTAAAGGATTACTTTAACTTCTTTCCTTCCTCTTGGTGTTGCACTGCTGAGGAAACACTGCCCACAGTTGCATAATAAAGTCAGTGTTCGAAATGGGGGGGAGCCAGGGGGAGCTTGGCTCCCCTAAAGAGGGGGGAGCTCCCCTGAAGGCCGACTTTGAGATAAATAGGGGGAGCCCAAAAAAATCGTGCATATTTGTGTCACACAGATTAGAAATGTTGAGTTTCTGTAAATAAATAATAGTCATTGTTCATTACAGTTTCTGAATATTTGTTTTATATTTGTGAATATTTCTGCGTGTTGCCATCTGTACGTGGCGGCGCTGCATTCTTTACGCTACTTACGTTGCTATGGTTACGGCGGCGATACCGGCGCGGTATTTGAAATACTCATATTGATATTTTTTTAACTTTGTAATACAAATGATGGCGAAACGAAAACAGCCAAGCCTCGCAGCTTTTGGATTCACAACCAAAGAAGCGAAGGAGTCTAAAAATGACAACGTGAACGGAACAACTTTTAGCGGCGTTAGGGTCGAGAAAAATCCACCGCCAGCCAACAGAGCGTGCGTGTGACGTATTTAGTAGCAGGATGTGCACTGAAAAATAGGCCTCCCCCGAAAGCAAATGAGTAATTCGAACACTGAATAAAGTTATATATATAATGCAAACAGTAGAGTCATGTCGCTCCTCTCCTTCTGTGGCTCTCTAGCACTTAATTTACTTTTATAACATTTTCATTTTTATTTTGACACCTACTGTGTATTAATAATAATAACAATAATCTTTATTTGAATAGCACCTTTCATACAACAAGTGCAGTTCAAGGTGCTTCACATAGACATTTCACAGACAATTGATATCACACAGAATACCAGTAAAAAACAAACTAAAATATCATAAAGTAGACATAAAATATACATTTAGATTAAAGGTACAACGATGAAATTGTGCATTGAAAGGAGGATAGTGCAAATTCAATCAGGTGACAGGTTAAAATGCTTCGGAGTGCATTGAGAAAGTGCATGAGAGAGCTTCTAAAAGGCTACATGGTACAAATGTGTTTTGACCTTCGACCTTATAATCATGCCTGTTTATATGTGTTTCTCTGCAGGCATGCCCCCCCTCTCAGGCGGGCCTCCTCTCTCCTTGCCTCCTCTCCCCTTGCCTCCTCTTCCTGTCGGGGTTTCCCCCCCCCTAGTCTCCTCCGTCCCGCCCCCCCTCCCTCCCCCCATCTCTAACGGAGCCCCTCCCACAGGAATGATGCAGCCAATCCCGGGCTTCCCTCTCCCAGGTAACAACTACACAGGGGAAGGGGCTGCTCTGAAAGGCTGTTGATGCTTCTGTGGGAATTGGGGGTTTTTAAGCTTCTGTTTACACATAATATACATCATTATCTGTTATATGTTTTATGCAGGTTTAAATGTTTTGTTCTCATTGTAGGACTTCATATCATAATCTGGTTTATGCCAAAAAGGGATTTCACGTGAAAGGAATTAGCTTTGTTGTCATCATGTAAACATAGTGAGAGAGAGAATGGGCAAAGGTTCACAGTAAAGGCAAGCATGCTCAGAGATATAGGACTTTTTATAAGCCAGGTAAAGCAGTGTTGAGTTTAAAGTTTTTAATCTATGATAAATTATATTGGAGGGTCTTATCCATCCATCCATCTTCTCCCGCTTATCCGTGGTCGGGTAGCGGGGGTAGCAGTTCCAGGTCTTAAGGATACTTTTTAAAGTCATTTTTAAAGTCATTTTTCCTTATTTTGAACAACATAGTTACAAGACACGCCATACCTTACACAAACTTACATAAACAATTTGAAAAACGGAGGCAAAGACACGACAGGACTTCATTGGAAAAAAAGTAATTTGAAATATATAATAAAAAGAAAAAAATTACATAAAATGAAATTTAAAAAACAATTGTGAAGTAGCAACATTATCCTAGAAAGTGTGCAAAGTCACAGCAGGTTAACAAGTAATAATAATAAATAAACCGTCAGTGTTTGCCATCAAAGCTCCAGCTCTCCTCGTGTCTCCGAGTCCTGACTCTCCATTGCTACAGAAGTTTCGAAGGACATCTGAACTTGTCCTTGATGTGGGGGAAAGTTCTGAAGCAATGGAGAGTCAGGACTCAGAGAGACACGAGGAGAGCTGGAGCTTTGATGGAGTCAGGACTCAGAGAGACACGAGGAGAGCTGGAGCTTTGATGGAGTCAGGACTCAGAGAGACACGAGGAGAGCTGGAGCTTTGATGGAGCCAGGACTCAGAGAGACACGAGGAGAGATGGAGCTCTGATGGAGTCAGGACTCAGAGAGACACGAGGAGAGCTGGAGCTTTGATGGAGTCAGGACTCAGAGAGACACGAGGAGAGATGGAGCTCTGATGGAGTCAGGACTCAGAGAGACACGAGGAGAGCTGGAGCTTTGATGGAGTCAGGACTCAGAGACACGAGGAGAGCTGGAGCTCTGATGGAGTCAGGACTCAGAGAGACATGAGGAGAGCTGGAGCTTTGATGGAGTCAGGACTCAGAGAGACACGAGGAGAGCTGGAGCTTTGATGGAGTCAGGACTCAGAGAGACACGAGGAGAGATGGAGCTTTGATGGAGTCAGGACTCAGAGAGACACGAGGAGAGCTGGAGCTTTGATGGAGTCAGGACTCAGAGAGACACGAGGAGAGCTGGAGCTTTGATGGAGTCAGGACTCAGAGAGACACGAGGAGAGCTGGAGCTTGATGGAGTCAGGACTCAGAGAGACACGAGGAGAGCTGGAGCTTTGATGGAGTCAGGACTCAGAGAGACACGAGGAGAGCTGGAGCTTTGATGGAGTCAGGACTCAGAGAGACACGAGGAGAGCTGGAGCTTTGATGGAGCCAGGACTCAGAGACATGAGGAGAGCTGGAGCTTTGATGGAGTCAGGACTCAGAGAGACACGAGGAGAGCTGGAGCTCTGATGGAGCCAGGACTCAGAGAGACACGAGGAGAGCTGGAGCTTTGATGGAGTCAGGACTCAGAGACATGAGGAGAGCTGGAGCTTTGATGGAGTCAGGACTCAGAGAGACACGAGGAGAGCTGGAGCTTTGATGGAGAGACATGAGGAGAGCTGGAGCTTTGATGGAGTCAGGACTCAGAGAGACACGAGGAGAGCTGGAGCTTTGATGGAGTCAGGACTCAGAGAGACACGAGGAGAGCTGGAGCTTTGATGGCAAACACTGACGGTTTATATGGAGTTACGGCCGGAGAATTCACACGACATGTCACGGGCCACGGTCTGACCACACGGTTGAGATGCCACAATCAATTCTGAAGAACTCTTTCTGAAGCTCGAGGTTTTAACTAGTTCGGAGTGTAATAATCAACATTCTTCATCAGCGAGACTCAAGCAATGGACCCTGAATCTAACGAGAGCTCTCGTCCATAGGAAAGAATGTGCGCCTTCGTCCCTGAACAGTAAACGACCTCATGGCGGCTTGTGCTCGGTCATAGACTGGCAACAACAATGCGCCCAAGCTGCGCCTCCTTAAGAGATAGCAGCAATACCCAAGGCCGTAGACCTATGCCGTGGGAAAGGAGACAGTGAGAGGAGAAAATGAAAACTGTGTCGAAGGTTGAATACCTAAGCAAATGATTCCCCAACACACAGCAGTTTAAGAAGTTCTTTACCTTCCCATGGATTCCCATTGTTATTTCTCAGCCTCAGACACATTAACATTCCCTAAAAGTTGAGTAAACGGATCCCAAACCCTATCAAAGGTTTCATTTTTCCTTTTCAGAATATACGTTTCAATAGAACAACCATTACTCATTTCCCTCAGACATTAACATTGTATTTTTTGTACAGGTTATTAACCCTTTATCAAATGTTCCTCCTCCTGCGATTAGAATATTGCACGAGTCCATTTTATGATTATTTGCTGCCTTCATTTTGACCCCAACCTCACATTTAAACAAAGTGTTCTCTCTTTCAGCGCCTCCTGTCAACAAGTCAGGATCTTTTAATCGTCCCAGCGCCAAACTGCAGAAGGGCCCGTCTGTGGACGTCGCTAGGTAAGACGCATAATGTTACCATACCATGTTATTTATTTGTATATTTATTAAGTATCAACTGATATTTTTTTAGTAACTATTTATATTTAAACATTGTAGCTTTATATATTTTAACATTCTGGTAAAGTGCATATGATGACCCTGATTATTAATGCTACTATCTCTGCTTTATCTCTGTTTTTATGGATGTGTTCTTATTTATGTTATGTATTGCATTGAGAGATGCCAACTGAATTTCGTTGCACTGATGTGTGATGACAATAAAGATATATTCTATTCTATAATCAGAAATATGTGCACTTTTGTGTCTTTATAACAAAAAATTAGAAAATATTTGGTTAGAAAATGGTCACATGGAAAAATGGTCCACGGTTAACCTGATACATGTTGATACAAACCTAAGCTGTGCAACTTAATTCCCTCAGGAAATAAGTAGTATTTCTAATCTGCATCCTGCAATATATGTGTTTGTTTTTCATTGCGTTGCTAGGTTACGCCGCATAATCAGAAAGCTTTTTATCTGATATCAATAAATGAGAAAACATGTTCACATCCTATAATTTAAATCCTGATTCTCCTTGATTTAAACTACTGAATGTGTCTTTTGTCCTCATTACAACATGTTTAAATGAATGGAGGCTGAGCATTGGAACTATTAAAGGAAATAAGGAGTGTTTTGCATCTTACATTATATGTGCTTACTTTTTCATTTTGACCTCACTTCACTGTAACTGTTCTGTTCCTTCTTGCAGTGTTCTGCCTCCCTGTGATTGGGCCGTTCCTCAGTCCTCCAGACTGAAGTACAGACAGCTCTTCAACTCCCATGATAAGATGATGAGCGGACACCTCACAGGTGCACACACACACACACACACACACACACACACACACACACACACACACACACACACACACACACACACACACACACACACCACACACTCACACTCACACACAGTCACACACACACACACACAGTCACACACACATAGTCTCACACACACAGTCATACACAAACACACACACACACACACAGGCATTCACACACACACACACACACACACACACACAGTAACAAAGCCATCCACACATGTACACACAGACACACACAGACACACACACAGACACACACACAGTAACAAAGCCATCCACACAGACACACACACAGACACACACACACACAGACACACACACACCACACACACACACACACACACACACACACACACACACACACACAAGCACACAGACACACACAGGCACACACACACACACAGGCACACACACACACAAGCACACACACACACACACACACACACACACACACACACACACACGTCATCACTTCCTCTAATATTCCTCTCATGTTTCCTGGTTTTAAATGGTGCATGTTCTCTCTCTCAGGTCCTCAGGCTCGCACCATCCTGATGCAGTCCAGTCTTCCTCAGGGCCAGCTGGCCACCATATGGTCAGAACATTACAATCAACCCTTTAATCTTCATCCAATGAAACTTAAAAGACATTATTCCTTAAAGTACTTCCTTTCTATCCTGTAGGAGTCTCTCAGACATCGACCAGGATGGAAAGCTGACGGCTGAGGAGTTCATTCTAGCCATGCACCTCATAGATATGGCCATGTCAGGGTTACCGTTACCGCCTGTGTTACCGCCAGATTACCTCCCCCCCACATTCAGGTAAACACTCTTTAATTAACTGTATGTTGGATATGTGCATAGATTACATTTGTATAGCGCCTTTCAAGAGACCCAAGGCTGCGTTACATGGTGAACAAACAGTAGTAGGACTGTGATGGGTTAGGGGTCAAAGGCCATGGTGGACAGGTGAGTGTCTAATGACGACTTGAAGATGTCACTGCGCATCTCTGCAGGAAGTGCATTCTAACATGTTTTGGTTTTATGTTAAAGGCACAATTAGCAAGAAACTAGTGTCAATATCGAGCGTAAACAGGGGGTCCGCGGGGTCTTAAAAAGTATTAAAAGTTGATAATCAATTCAGCGAAAATGAAGGCTATTAAAAGTATTAAAGGGCATTTTCCAAGGTATTACATTTTGTAGCTTGTTTTCAATAAGTGTATAAATGGTCCAAAGAGGTTGTATTCTACAGTCTGCCTGAATGTAATCATTGCGTAGGTGTGTAGTGTGATTCTGTGTAGTTTATTGATGGCATCCCGTTGGGTTTGACGTCATCTGAACTAGGGCTGCACGATTTCGGGAAAAAATCTAATTGCGATTTTTCTGACAAATATTGCGATTCGATTTGCGATATTTGTTTTTAAGCGACCCAACGGAAGTTTATTGTAAAATGTGGCCATACCTCCGGCTAGGAAGGTCGTATCAACGTGCTCCCGTCTCTAGTACCCCCGCAGCCCGAGCTACGAGTGAAAGAACTAACTTACATGAAACTTCCGTTGGGTTGCTTTAAAGTCAAGCTTTAGTTTAAGATTCTCCCTGTAATAGAAACATGTGATGGAGCATTACTAACCTGACTCAGATGCTTTCACCAAACCATCTAAAGCTCCATTGGAAGCCATTTGGAAAAGTATTTAAAAAGCACTTGGCAGGTGATTGGATCTATCTGTCTATCACCTTCTATCATGGGCCACTTCTGATTGGTTAACAATGGCTGGTACATGTGGAGCACAGCACTTCTGATTGGTGTGGATGACTGACACACAAGAACAAAAACAACGACAACAAAAAAATGTTAAAAAAAAATCGCAGGCTTTGCGATTTGATAATCACATCATATAAAATCGCGATTTCGATTTAAAATCCATTAATCGTTCAGTCCTCATCTGAACAGGACATCGCACGCTCACTGCTTGATAGCGCGAAGGTCCGTTTACGCCGGTTGTTAAACAACATCGTTTTGGGGAAATGCAAGTCTGCGTCCAAATGGTTGGAAGATAAGGAGGAAGGACAATCCATACTGTATATAGTCAATGTGAGGTGAAGTGTGTCACCAAGGTAACCGGTTAAAACTCCAAGTGGCGATGAGGTCTTAAAATGTATGGAAAGGGTCTTAAAAGGTCTTCCATTGACTTCAGGATTCCTGCATAGACCCTGGTAAATACTGATTTTGCATTGTTTTAATGTTGTGTTTGTGTCTTAAAGGCGCGTGCGTAGTGACAGCTTTCAGTCGGATCAGAAGATGGTCCAGGAGGAGCCGGAGGAGGAGCCGGAGAAGCTTGCAGGTGATTATTCCTGCACATAACGTCATATCACTGTCAAACTGGGCCAACTCTGTTTGCTTCATGACCCTACGGTCATCTCTGATTTAAAATAAATGCTAGCAGTATTGAAGCCCCTCAGAACTTTGGCAATTGTTGTTTTTTGCCCCCTGAAACCTTTCTATTATTATTATTACTACGTGTTGTGTAGCTGATGCTTTTATCTGGAGCTACTTACAGACTTACGACTTACTATCGTAGACATGCATTCAGGATTAAAGAGGCCCTATTTTTGCTTTTCGGGAACCCAAGGACACTTCTACATGTCGGAGCAGCACTCCTTTTTCCGTTTGAATCAGTTGTCTATCCACTTTCTCTGAAGGTTCATGTGAAAATAAGCTTCTGGCAGTTTAAGATAAAGCAGAACAGACTAGAGTGTGCTTCTAATGCTTAGACAAGGCAAGCTATTGTTCATTTTTCTTAACTTAATTTGACTTGCTATCTTATCACCTTGTTCTATATGTATCTCTACTGCTGCTGGTCACTGACAGCTACACAAAACACACACACACACACACACACACACACACACACACACACACACACACACACACACACACACACCAGCGGCGCCAGATTCATTTCAGAAGTGGGGGGGTGGGACAAAAAGTGTGTGTGTAAGTGACATACTTGCCAACCCTCCCGATTTTCGCGGGAGACTCCCGATTTCCTCCCGGGGTCACATTTCTCCCGATTTCTGACTAAATCTGATTTGTTTCATTCTAACATAACGCTCCAAATGTTACCGTTTCCACTCGGACTTCAATACAGCTACACCATTGTTTGGTTTCCATGGTAACACGTCTCTTTAGTAGCGCGCGCAACTGAAAGTCTGAGAGGGTGTTCAGGAGGACGATAGTCACAGAAAACAGAACAGGAATGGACAACTCAACCCTCTGCTCACTCCTTTCCTGTACATTAAACTATACAGGTCCAGCTCACACATGACAGCGCAGTTGCTCATTCCATCTCTCCTTTTTCCCTGCTCAATACGCTCTTGTTTGACAAGCTGAATGTTGACTGGTGTTTGACTGAAGTAAGCGCACTTTTTTTGAACACACTGTGAAAAGTTCCAGTTATTAACTCCGGTATTTACAAAGCTGTCATCTCCACATTTGGATTTGACGGATATCCATCTGTGTGTGTGTGTGTGTGTGTGTGTGTGTGTGTGTGTGTGTGTGTGTGTGTGTGTGTGTGTGGTGTGTGTGTGTGTGTGTGTGTGTGTGTGTGTGTGTGTGTGTGTGTGTGTGTGTGTGTGTGTGTGTGTGTGTGTGTGTGTGTGTGTGTGTGTGTGTGTGTGTGTGTGTGTGTGTGTGTGTGTGTGTGTGTGTGTGTGTGTGTGTGTGTGTGTGTGTGTGTGTGTGTGTGTGTGTGTGGGTGTGTGTTTTGCCTTTGTGTGTATTGTGTTTGTTTCCCGGGGAAAATACTGAGAAACACCGGCTGTTGTTATGCCTGCTGTGACGTCAAGTTACTCCGTTCTCCGCTTGTAATTATGCCGTCACAAGCTTCAAAGTTGTATTTATCATCTGAATTTGCCGAAACAAGTTTAATATTCTGAAAGCCAAGACTTTCATTACATTTAGCTGACGCTTTTATCCAAAGCGACTTACAATAAGTACATTCGACCAGGAAGACACAACCTTGAAGAAAACAGAATCATAAAGTACATCAGGTTTCATAGAGCCAAACATTTCAAGTGCTACTCAACTGGCTTTAGGTAAGCCAGTCCTTTATTAGTATAAAAGTGCTTCGTTAATAGTTCTATCGCTCGAAGTGGAGTCGAAAGAGATGAGTTTTCAGTTTGCGCCGGAAGATGTGCACTTTCTTTATTTGAAATCAGATGAAAACAAACTGTAACGGACCCTGCTGTGTTATCTATGATTACTATACGCCTTGCATTTTTCTTACAATTTCAGCAGAGGGAGGGGAAGAGCAGAGTGGCGAGTGAGAGCTGTCATCTTTCCTTTACAAGCTTCAAAAATGCCTGTAGCTAATGAGATTATATATAACAATCAAAAATAACAAAATATACACAGCTAGATCAGATGGCGTTCTTTTTAGATGCGACTTTAGAGTAGAGGGGAATTATTGAAACGGGATGTGTACAGGGTTCTGCGGCATCTGCTGCTGCGAAAATGTGGGGCAAGGCTGTAAAGTGGGGGGGCCAATGCCCCCCTGCTTCCGGCGACCTTGACACACACACTCTCTCTCTCACTCTCTCACACACACACAGTCATACACACACACACACACACACACACACACACTCACACTGACACACAAGACGTCTTTCTGTTGCGTGCTTACAATGACAATAAAGCGTCTGATATATTTGCTTCTTTGATATCTTCCTCAGTGAGCTTTGAGGATAAGAAAAGGGAGAACTTTGAGCGCGGGAACCTGGAGCTGGAGAAGAGACGCCAGGCTCTGCAGGAGCTCCAGAGGAAGGAGCAGGAGAGGCTGGCTGCTCTGGAGAGGGAGGAGTACGACAGGAAGGTGAGATACTGAACATATTCATCTCTGATGGGTTGTGTGTGAGGCTGTCAAATATTTGCATTCATAATCAGTGGTGTCATTTAGGTAGTACATTAACTCAAGTACTGTCTCTAAGTAAAACATTTAGTTACTGGTACTAGGCCTGCACGATATTGGAAAAAACTGACATTGCGTTTTTCTTCCCCTGCGATATGAAAAAATACAGGAATTGAAGAAAAGACCGTTTTTTCCCCCCAAACCATCCTTTCTAGAACTTTAATGATACAATTGGTATTTTTCTAACTATATTTAACCGGATGAAGGATTTTAGTGACGGACGTCTGGATCTTAAGTTATCAGAGCAACAAGCTGAGCTAGCTCGGTTAGCAGCGCCGAACTGGAGAAACACATGAAACCACTTTATTCAGTGATTGGTGGTTTGCTGTCACTCACTCAAGTACTCCTGACATGAGAGCCTCGCCAGTTTTCCTTTTGTAGCAAGCAGCAAAATAATTGTAACATGACGAGTTAATTTGCTTACTTAAGGTGGGGTAGGTCATTCTGGAGAAACCGGCTCGAGTGCGCTCGAATTTGAAAATACACAGCCGGAAAAGATCTGCCCCTTCCTCACAGAGCCCTTCCTCCAACTCACACGAACGCGCACATGACCAATGAGGGCACGAGATCAGTTTGTGCACAGATGGAAGGCTGACAGGCAGGTAGGCCATCCAGTTACTTTAGCCGGCACAGATGATTGGTCGTGCTTTTTACAGCGCCACGGCTTCCAGATGACATGTTTGTCAAAGCACTTAAGATATTCAATGCTATCGGGATGTTAAGAGCATTCCATGGAATATAACAAAAAGTGTGTCTCGAGCCGGTTTCTCAAACTTACCCCACCTTTAATATCGCAAATCCTAAAGATACAAAAAATAAAAATCATCACGACACGATATATCGTGCAGCCCTAACTGGTACGTTTTACATTATGCTTCTTTCTACTTGTACTTTACTTCATTTTGTAGGCAAATGTTGTACTTTTGACTCCACTACATTAATTTAAAAACATTTAGTTACTACTTACTTTGCAGATTTAGGTCATTGTTACACATTATATTTCAATATTAACGCTTAAGCTATGCCATAGTGTATAACGTCCTTTATTTACCCCCAACTTTACCAAGTGCAACATGGAAGTGATGAACACTTAAAGGTGGGGTAGGTAAGTTTCAGAAACCGGCTCGAGATACACTTTTTGTTATATTCCATGGAATGCTCTTAACATCCCGATAGCAATGAATATCTGAAGTGCGTTGACAAAGAATCCATAAAAAATGTCATCTGTGGAAGCCGATGAAATTTGTAAAAAGTACAATTGCCGCCCTGTCTGTCAGCCTTCCATCTCGTGCCCTCATTGGGCGTGCCGTCATTGGGCGTGCCGTCATTGGGCGTGCCCTCATTGGGCGTGCCGTCATTGGGCGTGCATTGCAGCAGTACTTCAATGACTCGCCAGCAACAGGCGGCCACTTTCACCAGTCTGCTGACGTCATGTGCGCGTTCATGTGTGTTGGAGGAGGTGCTCTGTAAGGAAGTCTGAAGGAAGGGGCGGATTCTTTTCGGCTGTGTACTTTCAAATTTTAGTGCACTCGAGCCGGTTTCTGAAACTTACCTACCCCACCTTTAATGCAACAATCAACGAATACTTTTACTTTTGGTCGTTTAAAGTACTTTTTAGTGCTAATACTTTTACTTAAGTACCATTTTGAATGCAGAACTTTAGCTTGTAGCTGAGTATGTATACAAGTGAGTACTTTTCCACCTCCTCCTATTGTAACAGCCTCACTAACCCACGTTGAATCAGTCAGGTATTTATTTGCGTTTACAGCAAGTGTTGAAACTAGGAGGAAATGAAAATGCATCGGAGTGACACATAAACAAACAAAGGAGCTGTTTGTTTTCTCAGGAGCGCGAGCGCATGGAGCAGGAGAGGAGGCGGCAACACGAGCTGGAGAAACAGCTGGATCGACAGAGAGAGATAGAGAGACAAAGAGAGGAGGAGAGACGCAAAGAGATCGAGAGGAGAGAGGTACGGAGGAGGAGGAGGAAATGGTTTGAATTGAAGAGTTACGGTTGAGTTGACGTTTGCAGACTTGTGATTAAATCTGCTGCAGACAGCTCTCACTGCACTCTGTACGTCTGACCGTAAAGAGCCTCATTCACGCTGCTACAGCAGATGGGAGTGTGAAATGAAGTGTGTAATGTACGGATCATATTTAATGTGATGAAATATCCACTTATGTTACAGAACACATATATCTGTTTACACTCTACATTTATCATAATAAGAAATCCTTTATTTCTCCCACAGCGTTTACAGCGTAACGGCAGTAAAGATGCGTTGCAGATAAAAGAAAAGCTAAAAAGATTAGACACACATTCACAACCAAGTAGGTACACCATGGTCAAATAATTAGTAGCAGTATTTAAGTAACGTATACAAAAATGTAAGGACACAGTAACATTATCCAGTCCACATATAAACTTACACTTGTTTATATTGTATTAGAAAACCCAACATTGTTTTCCACTGTACAGAATTTAATTTGACTTTTTCATTTTATATTCTGTTTTTATCTTACTCTATATAATATGTATGGAGTTGACATATTTCTGCACCATTCTCACTAATTAAAGCTCCCATGTCATGGCCATTTCTACTGATCATAATTCCATTGTTGAGGTCGACTAGAATAGATTTACATTGTTCAATGTTCCAAACTCACATTGGTTTCTCACAGCATCTCTGTATAGTCTGTGTATTCACTCTCTGTCCTACACAGCTTGTTGGAGCTCCTGCCCCCCCCCCCCTGTGAGCCCAGTGGCCGTCTGCGAGACAGCGAAACCCAGCCTGAAACCAGCCGAACACACACACAGACGCACACACACACACACACACTCGCAGCCTGGCTGGGAGTCGGTGTGTGTGCTCACACACCGATTCGTAGCCTCGCCGCGCCCCGCCGTCTCAGGGAGGAGAAAGCGGCAGAGCTGCAGCTGAGAAAAGATTGAGTGTGTTAGAGTTTTACTCGCTACAGGGTGTACTTTGAGGGTTTGTGACTCTGCAGACCGTTTACATGCAGAAAACCTTCATAACACACAAGGGGACGGGTGATAACCGGAAAAGCATGACATGGGACCTTTAACTTATATTTCCTCCTGCATTGTTTTTTTATTTCCTTAGTATATTTTATGTTGCATTGTTCGAGGAGCCTTCAGATATTCATGCAAAAACTACACTGTAGCTATTCTATTCGTATCACATCTTACGTGTGTGTGTGTGTTGTGTGTGTGTGTGTGTGTGTTGTGTGTGTGTGTGTGTGTGTGTGTGTGTGTGTGTGTGTGTGTGTGTGTGTGTGTGTTGTGTGTGTGTGTGTGTGTGTGTGTGTGTGTGTGTGTGTGTGTGTGTGTGTGTGTGTGTGTGTGTGTGTGTGTGTGTGTAGTGTGTGTGTGTGTGTGTGTGTGTGTGTGTGTGTGTGTGTGTGTCGCCTGCTCCGCGTGAGATGGAGCGTCCGCGTCAGTTGGAGTGGGAGCGTCCAGCGCCGCCAGGAGCTCCTGACTCAGAGGAACCGCGAGCAGGAGAGCATCGTGCTGCTCAAAGCCAGGAAGAAAACTCTGGAGTTCGAACTGGAGGCGCTGGTAATTCAGACATCACACACACACACACACACACACACACACACACACACACACACACACACACACATACACCATGTATACATCACTTCAGGGGACATTACATTGACTTACATGCATTTCCTGGAGACTTATCCTAACCTTAACCATAACCAACACATGCCTAACCCTTAACCCTAACCCTAACCAAGTCTTCACCCTAACATTAATGATACCCCTCATGGGGACCTCCAATTTGTCCCATAAGAGAGGCCAGTCCCCACACGTGACTATGTAAACAGGTTTAGGTCCCCACAAGTATAGTAATACTAGACACACACACACACACACACACACACACACACACACACACACACACACACACACACACACACACACACACACACACACGCACACTGTACAGAGAAAACAGGGCCTGTTCATTAGAGTCTCCATTTGGACGACTGTAAACATGCCACATCAGGAGTATTTCAAAGTGCTTGACAACAAGAAGAGGAAATGAAATGAAAAACCAAACACTGCACAATAAAACCAAGCAATATAACAAAGGAAACATTAAGAGTTTTAGTTTCATTGCACATTTAAGAAAGCTGTTGTTCCAATTCTGGGAATATACATAAGATTGTTGATGGATATAAGATGCTGTTGCTTAACATTGTTAGTGTGGTTGCCAACCAACCAAGTCTCTTAAAAGAAAAACAAATATTGGAAAACAAGGAAAAGTTTCTTCAAAGATAACCCTAAAGCAATAAACTAATGCCAACAGGAAAAACTGTCAACACATTCTGTATTATTAAAACAAAGGACAACTTAAGAACAATACAACAATGTAAACGAGGAATACAAACAATAGCAAATGTTTTAGTTTAAAAGCAATGACATGGAGTGACAGTTCGTTAAAGGCAAAGCTCAAGAAGTAATGTTTGTTTGTTCAAAATGTTCATATAGCTGACATCTCTTAGAGCAGGGGGGGTCAAACTCAAACACACAGTGGGCCAACATTTAAAAATGGGTGCTAGTGGAGGGCCGGGCTGGTTCAATGTTTATTGCTGAACTTATTGAAATGAACTTATTGCACATATTAAACCTGGAACTAACAAAGCTTCAATGATTGCCTATAAAAACAACATTAAATAATCAGTTGCATTCATTTCTTATGGCTCTATCTGCAGCTTTTCCAGAGTCAGTTCTTATGAGTACATTTTCCCACAGGCCAACAGCAGCTTCAACAAAACTATTCCCCTCAAAGAGAAAACCAAACATGTCCTGTTGTCCTGAGAGAGAAAGTGCAGAAGGAAACATCCATTGAACTCAGTGTGCTGCTCTGTGAAGCTAGTTCAGACACTTGGCATCTCATCTCGGGTGCAAGGTCATCAATGTTTGGGCTCAGGCTCTGAGCGGAGGAGACCCTCAGGATGGAGTGAAGGTGTGCGTGCAATATACCGGCGGGCCTTGAGTTTGACACATGTTTGGTGCTGAAATCTATAGTTAATAAAGGCTAAGCTGACAATATAAAAATACTGTTTACGCTGATGATTAGCTCTGCTAGCTTGTACAATACAAAAATGACTGGTTGCAGTTGTTATGACCGGCCCGTAGGCCACAACATGAAAACAGAGAGAGACGTTCGAGGGTTCCAAAAACCACGGCACTTTAATTGTGATGGTTCTAAACACAACACCGGAAACATGAGAGGATGGGCGAGGGGAAAGGATCCCAGCGAGAGTCCTCCTGCAGCGGGCAGAGAGTCACGAAGGCCATGTGACTCCGGGCAGCTGGGCTTAAGTAGCACCTCGGCTCCGGCCAGGTGTCCCCGGTCATGCTGATTGTCTCCTCAGCTCCACCCCCATCAAAGGACCTGCACACACATGCACACCACTAACAGGCCACAGGCTCTGGGGCCGTCACACAATCTAACAAAGTTACAAGAAAGAAAATAAAATGACAACAACATTGATACAAGGGAACATGAGCCAAAAGTAATCAACAACAGGAAGAACAGAACAACTGTAAACAAACCGTTAGTGAAAGCTAATATGTCTGCTCATCAGCAGAAACATAATATATATAACTTTCTATCTCCCTGTCCTCTCTCCAGAACGATAAGAAGTGCCAGCTGGAGGGCAAACTGAAGGACGTTCGCTTTCGTCTGTCGGCTCAGCGGAGGGAGGTGGAGCAGACCAATCAGACGAGAGAAACACGCATCGCTGAGATCACACTGCTGCAACAGCAGCTGCAGGTACACACAGCAGATGTCAACAAAAGACAAAATGTCCTTTTAATATCTTCTACATCAGCAGCAGATCTACATGCTTAAAAACTGTGGATGTTCCTCATGTATACAATAGGGTTGTTGACTGTTAGAAAATATCACTATTGAGCTTCAACCTCAGGATCCATGTATCTGTGATCCTCTCCAGAATGGAAGGAGTCATCACATACAGAGCATCAGTAGTTCCTGAACAGTGTCCTTCACATGCTGATATCCAAGAGAGGGAGTTACAGTCACAAGATGGAGGTTCTGGTTCTTGTTATCATACATCCTGTCCTGAACAAAATACTGAGTTTTTCTCTAAATCGAAAAAATCTGACTTTTTTTGAAAATTCTGACTTTTCTCAAAAAATCTGACTTTTACAAAAAAAATTACTTTTTCTCAAAAATATAACTTTTTCTCAAAACATTTTTTTCGAAATCCTGACTTCTCTCAAAATCCAAAAATTCTGACTTTTTTCAAAATCCTGACTTTTTTTCTCAAAATTCAAAAATTCTGACTTTTTTCAAAATCCTGACTTTTTCTCAAAATTCTGACTTTTTCTAAAGAAAATTGACTTTTTTTTCAAAATCCTGACTTTTTTTTCTCAAAATCCAAAATGTCAGACTTTTTTCAAAATCCTGACTTTTTCTCAAAATTCTGACTTTTTCTAAAAAAAAAGACTTTTTTCAAAATCCTGACTTTTTTTTCAAAATCTCAAAAATGTTAATAATCTCTGGTCCCCGGCTTGAGCTTCAACATCAGGATCCATGTGTTTGTGATCCTCTCCAGAATGGAAGGAGTCATCACATACAGAGCATCAACTAGTTCCTGAACAGTGTCCTTCACATGCTGATATCCAAGAGAGGGAGTTACACAGTCACAAGATGGAGGAATAGAAAGCAGTATTCAATGTTTACTTCAGATTAGCTCCACGTCAGAAATGAGCATGCTTGATGTCTCTCTCCATAGAGGCTGAATCATCATGTTAATCACACAGCTATCATATGCCTCAAACAGTCCTGATGCTCTTCTAGGTAATCACACATCCTGCCATGTTCACAGCTACAGTTGATACCTTTGTTATCATGTACTCTCATGTTGGAAGAGGACACTCAGTATTTCCCCGACACTGACATACTTTTATGTAGTAAACATTTCTAATGTAATGATTATTTCTGTTGTTTTCCTGCAGGACTCCCAGCAGTGGTTGGGGAGGTTAATTCCTGATAAACAGGGTCTCAACGACCAGCTGAAGCAGGTTCAACAGAACAGTTTGCATCGTGAGTACAACACAAACTAACACACACTTAATGGCCACATATTCATACTCTTCACATAGAAAGCTGTCTCGATTGGCTGTGTTTACTTGCATAATGACTCATAACGTTGTGCATCATACAATATGTCTGACCTTTTGGTGTCATAAAGAGTGGGAAGTATTTTGAGCCTACTCTCTGATAGGGTTCAAATTAAGGCTACAACTATTGAACATGTATTATAGAATCATCTGCCAATGTATTGTTACTTTTGTTAAATTAATTACATGATCTGTAAATGTCATGTCAATCCCAGTTCCTCAAAGTCCAAGGGGGAGACTTTAAACGTTGTGTTTTGTCAGTCGAAAACACAACTATATTATGTTAAACTTAAAGGGGACCTATCATGCAAAATGTACTTTTTGATGTCTTTTATACATCAATGTGTCCCTGGTGTGTCAGGGAACTCACGCAGCGTCAGGAAATAAAACCCTCTCTCTTTTCCTCCGTACCCAAATCTCTAAAAACGGGGAACAACGGAGCTGATCCAGATTTGCGTCCGATATGACGTAATATCTGAAATGTGGACCCACGGCCCAATCAGAAACGTTGCTATCAGAAACAATGCCCGACTGTTTTGGACGTAATATGGTCGGTGTTCACATTAGCATCGCTAACACTCAGAGCTAACCTGTGCTGGAGAGCATGTGTGTGAAGAAGCAGGAAGTAAAAAGGAACTCACCTTGTGGTATAACCGGCAAGAGAGAAAGCCTTTGAGCTCCAAACTGTTTCAGCGAGAATCCTTGATAATCCATGATATGGCGTTTCATCACGGCAGCATTTAGTTTAGACAGTAGCTGCCGGGTCCCGCGTGAGCTCAGACCCCTCCTGTCTTTTAAAAAAAAAAATGTCTTCAACCCTTATACATAAAATCATCACTTTAGCAACAGGAAGTGAAATAGAGGGATATGAGGCATGGCTAGAATGGGTGATCTGTTTGGTATTTTGAGCAAAACACTTCATAGACATGTTTTCTATATATGTTTATATATCTGAGACCTATGTTATTGCCTAAAAATAGCATGATAGGTGACCTTTAATATAAAACAGATAAAAATAAAGAAATGTACACATTCAATGACATATTTCTATTTTTACGATTATTCGTAGAGAGATGTTCTAGCTCTGATTTGAATTTATGATTTTTGTTAGAAGGATTTGGATGGTCAAAAACAAGCTTCTGAGTACTTTTTTCAACAGTTAAATTAATATTAAGTTCATACGCTCAAAGTGTCAGCACAAAAATGGTAAAGCACAAGAAAAAACACTATTTGGATCGCTTTTTCTCGAGGCAGCCACTTGATGTACTCTGTACACTGTTCTTATTTGTGTGTGTGTGTGTTCATCGTTCAGGTGACAGCCTGTCGTCGCTGCAGAAGGCGGTGGAGCAGAAGGAGAGCAGCAGACAGCAACTCAGAGATCAGCTGGACGCCGTGGAGAGAGAGACCCGCGCAAAACTGCTGGAGATAGACGCGTTCAACACCCAGCTGAAGGTAGACAGCTCTCTAACTCAATAACACGGCACATCGAGGGACGGTCAGGTCCGTTCTATTTTCATATAAAGATTAAAACTCCACATGAACCAAGTATTAAACAAACTAACTTGGCCGAGTTCAGCTGGATGCAGTGGACGGATTAACAGACAAGTGAAGTGTTCCAATTAATATGAAGATGTTTTATGTTGAAGAGTTACCCGACAATATGTCATAAAGGTACAAGAGAACAATTTTAAAACATCCCTACTCTTTAGTTTGGGCTCTCTTTACTTTTATCTTATGGGTGAACTCTTGACATATCCATAGTTTAAGGCCTTTGAACATTAACCCTAAATAATTCATATGGGAATCTATTTGGGGGGCTTTGACTTTTTGTACAGAACATTCACATAACAAAAAAACCAAAGGAGATGCCTGTGCTGATCATATAGAAAATACGTATCTGTTGTTGAGTTGATTCATGGCTGTTGTGCTTTCAACTCACTCAAAATGAATATTTAACAAAACTCGCTTACCCAGTAAATGTTTTGCTTCAGAAAATATTTGACATGTGTAGCTTTAAATCCTGTCCTATCCTTCATCATAACCCATCCTCACGCTAGTTTAACATGTGTATAATGTTATCTGATGTGCCTTACTGTTAATATCTGACCACGATATCTGTGTTTGTATTCACACTGAACAAAAAGAAACACAACTCTTTTGTTTTTGCTCAAATTTCTAACGGGTTGAAATAAATACTTCACTTTTTCAATGAATTATTGTGCACAAACTGGTTGTGTAAAGACTGGTGCACCCAGTAAGAAAGGAAGGATTGTGTGTGCATAGAAAGCCATTTTTATTTCAAATAATTGAGTGAAAACAGAAGTACTTATGTTTTTTGTTCAGTGTATTTTGATGTGGTACTTCTACGTGTCTGTGTGTGCCGAATAGGCGCTTTCACACCGGAGTACTTTTCTCGTTTAGTTCCGATAGTTCCTGGAATTTGCGTTCACACCAAAAAGAGAACTTAGTTCAGAGAACTTTTACCCCCATTTCAGTCCCTGCTAGAGAGGTGGGACTATCCTGGGGAGAAAAAGTTCCAATTCCTGATTGGCTGGGCGAATTGCAAACCACGCCCCGTAAAACTCTGAAACGTTTTGTGAAGCCGCCATTGTATTTGCTGGCATTAGCATTATTAGCATTAGCATTATTAGCATTAGCCCCGCGCACCAACGGAGAGAGAATAACTTATGGCAACACAAAAAAATAACATGGGAGCGGTGGGGATGAGGAGGTGTCGGCGTTCTGGCGATTTACTCGGAAGGCTTCAGTAGAAGCAGCTGGGAGTCCCAGCAGCTTCTACTGAAGCCTTCCCCAACTCCGGGGACTTCCGGCCGGGCACTTTGGGTGGCAGTATACGCCGTGAAGTTGTTTGCCGCCTGCCAGTAAACCCAAAGCAGAAGAAGAAGAAGTGACGTCAGCGGCTTCATTTGCGTAATCTTCCCTCAGGGAACTTATTCCGGTGTGAACGCGATCGGCTCCTAGTGCCATGGGGGAACTAAGAGCTGGGAACTAAGTGCTGGGAACTGAGTACGCAAAGTACTTGGTGTGAAAGCGGTTTGTTGCTGTGTTTTTGGAGAGAGCTAGCTGTGCACAGGAACTCACTGAGGAAGGTTTTATTCCTTAAAGCGTTGCATCACAGCGGTTTGTTTATGTTTCCTGGACCACATTGTGTCCTGTTCTGTCTCTAGAGTCAGGTCAGAGAGAGGAGTATTAATCCTGTGGTCTGTTACTACAACAAGGAGGAGGAGGAGGAAGATAAAGGAGCAGAGACAAAACAGACCTCAATAAATAGAGGGCTTATCTAATAAAGATGGATCCCAGTCTTCTTCCGTATGAAAGTAATTTCAAGCAACACACTAAGTCCTCCCTCACTGGTGTTTATTTACAAGACAGATGACATACTCTTTCATTAATACCACCATTTTGGTTAATATGGATATCATTGGACGATGCTGAGCTTGTGTTTCTGTTCTTAATGATGTCATGTGATCGTGTCGTCAGGCAGTGTCCAAAAGAGTCTAATTACATTGTGCCAGTAAGAGGCTGGACGTCTGTAAATGTGGATCGAAACCAGTTTTTGATCGTTTAATTGAATCGGAAAATGCCAGGGCCATTGCCAGTGTGTCCGCCAGACCAGGGCTGAGAGGGCGTCCACCCCGAGAGCGGGGGGGTCGTGACGTCACGTCGTGTCACGTGACTTGAATATTGAATTGAGCCGTCCCTTAAGTTATAGATTCAGGCCGTTTCTCAATGTCGAGTATACCTGCTGCAGAGCCACTATTTCAAGTATGCTACGTCATCGAGTGGCGCCGAAGGACTGTTTAAATGCATGTTAAATGCCCAGCATTTCGGCGCCACTCGATGACGTAGCATACTTGAAATAGTGGCTCTGCAGCAGGTATACTCGACATTGAGAAATGGCCACTATCTCTTTACGTATTAGTGATGGGAATTGCGGCCCCCCTGGCGGAAACGCTGGTCATTGCATATGGCATCCTTTTGAATCATCAAGTCAGTGGTGGATCAGTCGAGATGCGATTTTGATGCTTTCATTTTCTTTACTACTTTTACCTGCAAGTTTATTTGGTCTCCATAAAGATAATTGTTATTTTTATGGAGTCAGAACTACGATTTCCTCTCATAGGAACTTCATTGGATAAACAAACGTCCACTATAGGTGTGATCTCTGCAAAGCAAGCTATAGTCCACAGAGATGTGAACATTGTTTTTACGTTTCTGTCGTCCACCTTCCTCTCCACAAAATCTCTTCTGTCCTCTTTACCCACTGGGACTCTTTCCCAATGCTTTTTCTACTCGCTGTCCTTCTCCTGCTTTGTGTTTCCTTCCTGCTTCTTCTTCACCCTTTATCATATGCTTTGTTTAATCCTCACAATTAAACCCTTCCTTTCTTTATTTTTCCTACCCCTTTTTTCATTGGCCTTCTGCCAGTCTCTGTGTGAGTTCTATGCCAACCACTGTTCGAGGATAGAGGCCCTGCGACGCCAGCTTCAGGACGAACAGAGAGGCAGACAGGTAGAGACGCTGCCACCGCTGGACTGGGGTAGTACTGCAGCTGGGATACACTGTACTGTTAACTAATCATAGAGTGGTGCAGGAATGAGTCCTAAAGAAACCCAAAACAAATCAGCATTTCCAGTTCTCTCATCTGGAAGTCAATTGTTTGAAAGTGTTGAAGTCTGAATTAAGATCTGTGGTTAACACAAGCTGAAGAGATTTCTATTCTAAGACATCAAATACGCTCACAAGTGTCTAAATAAGATAAACACTTTATTACTTTACAATTTATTTACAACTTGTTAACGTTACCGGCTCCTTTGAGACCTTTTTAGAAAAAATTACAGTTTAAAATACTGCTACTTATTTTTACCATTTGTTTTTTCTTGTAACGTGTACCTAACTTTTTATTTAATCTATAAATATACTTTTTTTTCTATTTTATCTGCACTTTACCTTAGCTGCTGTAACGCTGTTAACTTCCCAGCTTCATAGTATTTTAATATGTTGTTAATATGTGGAGATTATCCTGCTGATCAAAACGTGTAAATATCATAAACGTGTGTTTGCCACAGATCTTATTTTCTGCAGTAGTCCAACATCGAATGGAAAACCCCATTGGCTTTTTGTCGAAGTAGTGCTTGCATTGATACACAAGTCCATTATCACCGCACCACTCTACATAAAATATCCTAATATCAAGATCAGCTGATTTTGCATTTGAATTCGACTACCTCTTCCTGCTCTGGCAGTCTATTTGAGAAGTAAAACACACAACGGCACCAGACTACTTATGGCGCATTTCCACTGCAGGGGCTCGCACGGCTTAGTACGGTATAGTTAGGCCTTGGTAGGCCAGGCTCACTTTATGCTGCGTTTCCATTACAGTTTAGTAGCTGGGGCAGTAACTATAGTAACGCAGTGTAGGCGGAGCCGTGACGTCATCTTCAATGCGAACCACAAAACCAACACAGCTGTTAGCTGTTAGCACTCAGAGCTCACAGCTCCTCATATCTGTTCAGAAACTAGACAGAAGTTAAACAAGTACAAACCACAGACTGTCTGTGTCATGGAGAATACAGTTGCTGGTTTATTTATGTCTGTATAGGCCGTTGTTGTGAGTGTGGACGGTCGGAGCATATACTGCGTTAGCTTAGCCGATCTCCATTCAGAAAACACGCATTTTAAAAGGGTTTTTCGCCTGCCGTCTGTCTGCAGACTTGTCAAAGCATTAATTCATGGTTTTTACTAACCGGTATCAGTATGTTGTTACTTCGGCATCATTTTGAAACGTGTATCACAATTAAATCACGGTCAAATATGTTCATCTTGTTGTAGTTGTAGCCCCCTTGCCAGCGATTCTCTCTCTAGTTTAGCATACTCAGCCCGGTTGTTGGCCCGGAAAGAACCTGGATTTTGGATAGCCAGAAAAATTGTGAAACAGTACCCGTTAGCCGGAACTACGCCGAGTGGAAACGCAACAAAAAACGGGCCGGGTTTGGCACGGCACGCTTAAACCGTGCTACGCGCTGCAGTGGAAATGCGCCATAAGTGTTTTAGTCAAAGGCTTCTTTAACACAGACAAACCAGACTTTTAAACGGCCTCATGTTGTGCAGTGTGCTGCCCCTCTCCCAGACAGACACATGTTTTCCCAGCCAGTCGAGCTGTGAATGGTTTGATTACTGAAAAGCACTCATGTACTGATTTCAGTGTGCTGTTGTTTTTCCTAATCTCACGAATCGGCAAAGAAGCACTTAATACACTCGAATCCAGAAGAAATGGATGCACAATTCAACATTTGTGCAATATTAGTTAATGAATAGCTTATACACTAGTTGTATTAGACAAGAGCTTGCTTCTTAATTAATAATATATGGAAAAACATTGTTAGCCTACATATTTTTGGACCCCTTTATGGTTGGGATGCTGCAATTTCCCCAATGTTGGATGAATAAAGAATTTCCTATTCTAATAAAAACAGGGAGGAAACCAATATTAGCCGCATGACGAAATACCTCCAGAGATATTTATTTACAAGATTATTAGTTTATTTTCAAATGGAGGATATATTAATGTGGAGGAAATGTGGTTGTGTCCCCAATATATATCTAACCTAACAACCTACTAAACACATCAAACACTAACTTAACTTCCAACTCTTTTCTAATAGAGCCAGGTCAGTGAAAGATATCTGCTCAGGCTTTTTGCACACGGCACTAACTGGGCTGTTGCCACCTTCAGTCTGTTTTTTTATAACAACCTGACAGTAGTAACGTCAGATTACTCATCAGGGTGAGTCACAAGAGCCTCTCCTCGCATGAGTCAGGCCTTTTGTTGGTTTAATCTCTAGTGAGAGAAAACTGTCAGGGATTCAAATATTTGTTCAGGTAACTGGAAAGCAGTTTTAAATTAATTGGGAAGATAAACACATATATCAAATGTTCCTAATGCAGAGTAAGATTAGACACATTTTAACACAAAAACCTAACGTCTGTAAGTCTAATATTATGATTTATACAGTCATATATCAAACATATGACATTATATTAACACAGGTCACTTACTAGAAGAATTGTCTAATATTTTTACTTCAGAATAAAATCAGGAAGTTCAAATTAACTCCAAAACAACTCCTTTAATTCATTAATGCGTAGATATGTTTTGAAGCATTACCTGTCTGTGAGTGTGTGTCCGTGTCTACAGTACGATTGAGTCTGTCTGTGTGTGTGTATGTGTGTGTGTGTGTGTTCGTTTCAGTGCCAGGAGCAGGGGAAGATACAGGAGTGTGTGTCAGCCATCAGGGTGTGTCTGGCTCGGCTAGACTACGTTATAAAGGTCTTCACAACTCCCTTCCCCTCCCTTCTTCTTCTCTTTATTTTATTTCCATATCCCCCCATGTCTCTTCATCCTCATCTTATTTTCTTTGACACTTTTTTCTAATCCCTTCATCTCTAATATTCTATCTTCTCTCTCTGTCCTCCTTCTTTTTAGCACCCCTTATTTCCACTAATTAGCCAGTTAGCTAACAATGCTCCAATAGTTGACGCTGTGCACAGTTGTAATGCTAAACTAGTGGTCTTGTACGGTGGCCCTGAGGGTCAAAACACATTTTTTAAAGCACACAACGTATTACTATTTGTGTTTTGACCCTCAGGGCCACCATAGTCTTGCTAGATTAGCAGGTGTACTAGATTAGATGACTTTATGCTACTACTACACTGTGAGGTAATGCTACTTCCTGTGTGCTACCAGATGATGTTTCAGCCTGACAAGCTATTAAACATTTGAGAGGCTAACATGCTGTTGAACTAGAAACTGTGTGTGTGTGTGTGTGTTTGTGTGTGTTTCTTTCTGGTGTCACATATATGGGACTTATTTTTAGGGGGAATGCATAGTTTTCTCCTTAAAATGTATTTAGAAAGTCCTTTGGCAGTTCAAGAAAGTCACACTTTATCGTGGTACCATTTAGTTGTGTGTGAAAAAAACGTAAACATAAATGTGTACTTATATTGTATTCTCTTTTATTAACGTGTACTTTCCCACTATAATTAAAGATGTTAGTTTACTCAGTAGTGAAGTCAATTGACCCACAAATAAAGGATTTATGACTTCAAAAAAATACCAATATCATCAAAGGTCCATGGCACGATTTAAACAGGATCCAAAGATAAATAGTTATACTCGTTATCTCCCGCACTTATTTATTCCGAAATAATATCCCCATGTGTCTCAACATTAGGGGAGGGTCTTTGTCTCTCATGTTGTCTCATGTCCTCCACTTCCTGTTTCAGACTGTTCTCTCTCTCTCTCCTCTCCTCACTCTCTCTCTCTCCTCTCTCTATGTCTGTATTCTCATTCTCGCTCTCTCTCTCTCTCTCTCTTACTCTCCTCTCTCTCTCAGAGTTGTAGGTTTATTCCTCCGTCTGACCAAAACGTTGTTTGTTTGGCTGAAACACAAACAGCTGCATGTTGCTATAGTAACAGAGTATGTTCTAATGGCACAAGCATGGTTGCATGGACTACCACAGAACGGCTATCTCCCTGTTTTGTGGTCCCGCCCTCTTGTGCAAGCTCCGCCCCCCCTCCAACGTGGCCGCCTGCAGCCCCTGTGGTTTTGTGGCCCCAACCCTCCCACTTTAACTCTAAACTGGAGACCAGGACTAACTTCTAAATGTCTGTTAAAGTCAACAATCAAGTTCCCACAGTGCTGAAGAAGTGTATAGCCGCCAGGAAGTGCTCTGTGTTTTCCTGTAGTTGTTGTTTCCACTATCTTCCTTTGTTGACTCTTGAACTTAAAGGTCTCATGTCATGGCCATTTCTACTGATCATAATTCCATTGTTGAGGTCGACTAGAATAGATTTACATTGTTCAATGTTCCAAACTCACATTGGTTTTCTCACAGCATCTCTGTATAGTATGTGTATTCACTCTCTGTCCTAAACGGCTTGTTGGAGCTCCTGCCCCCCCCTCCCTGTGAGCCCAGTGGCCGTCTGCGAGACAGCGAAACCCAGCCCCAAACACACACACACACACCCGCAGCCTGGCTGGGAGTTTGTGTGTGTGCTCAGGCTGAGTTTTCGCGGTGTCTCGCCGACCCCACACCAGTGAGCCAGCTCACAGTGTACCGCTCCTCGCAGCAGCGAGCCTCGCAACGTCCCGCAGAGTGTGTGTGAGGAGGAAGTCCGCGGATTGGTCCAAACGTAACGGCTCCACGGACGTAACGTAACGGCTCCGCAGATTGCTCAATTTGGACCAATCTGCAGAGCCGTTACGTCCGCGGAGCCCGAAATACGTCACTATACCCAAGAAGTAAACAATGGAAAAAGAGAAATCTCCAACGAGGCGTTCTGGGGCAGCACAGACAGGTATTTTCTGTGTTAGAGTTTTACTTCCTACAGGGTGTACTTTGAGGGTGTGTGACTCTGCAGACCGTTTACATGCAGAAAAACCTTCATAACACAAGGGGACGGGTAATAACCGGAAAAGCATGACATGGGACCTTTAATGGGTAGTTTCCTTGTCTCCCTTTTAGCCACACAGCCAGGATTCCTAGTTCGACAGCAAGAACAATGAGGTGCTCTTTAGTGTTGTCTTAAAGTGACGCAGTTAATAGGATGTTCTTTTATTTTAATCTTAATTAGTGATGTCCTTGTTAGCCTTTGCTACACCGCAGAAAATTGACCAAAAACAAAACCATTAAAGTGCATTTTTCGTATTATTTAAGCAAAATACTGAATTTCTTTCGCCAGTTTTTGTTAAATCATGTCCTTTTTTCTTTAAGAGCTTGATCACATATCACAATATACCCCGAAAAACCTTTACAGTCTGCAACCAACACCCAAAAATAAACCTCTGTTAAATGACTCACTACATGTCTTAATTTATCGTTTCCCGTCTCCGACAGTTGACCTTCTGATTTGCAGGATATCAAGCAGCAGCGAGGATTTCTAGCTCTAAAGCAAAAGCAATTAGCTGCTCGTTTAGATGGTTAAAATTCAATTAAATGCCATGGTTACCAGCTAGGAGATTTCATTACTTTAAATAAAGCTGATGATTACCTCAGTGACACAGTTAAAGGGGCGGGGCTTGTCTTGATCACCTGACTAACCCATGCTGCTGCTGCTGTTGCTGCTGTTGTTGTTGTTTGTGGTCGATGGTAACCCGTAGCAACCAGCCCTTTTGATCTCCCACCTCCTCACCGCTGTTCCTTTCCTGTTTCCCATGATGCTTTGCAGGAGCTGCGGGAGATCCACAGTCGGCAGCAGAGGCAGAAACAAAGGGATCTGGACGGAGACACACACTCACTGACACACCACACACTCTCACCTACACACACCCATCGAGAGGAAGTCTGCCGAGCTGCAGGATGGCAGGTAATGGAGTTCACAATGAGAGGCTTTTAATGGGTACAAGCTAGACATGGGACGATATCAACAGTTACTTTATCACTTTGTCACTTTATGTTTTTTGAAAAATCTGTATTTAAATTTTTTTTTAATTCTATTTGTCTTTGTTTTTACCTTGTGTGAATCCTGAAAGGGTCAAACACCCTGAATTTCCCCAAGGCGATACATAAAGTTCCATCTTCTCTTATCTTATATATAGTTTTTTATTATACTACGTTATCGCAAACTACACAAACAACTGGAACCACTTTTACGTACTACTAAAATGGGATAATTATTAATCTTAAGGCCTCCCTACATGGATAAAAGATTAATATCCTTTAAATATTAATATATAAGTATATTTTTTAAATGATTACATGGTACATGGTACATGGTGGAGGCGTGTGGCATAGTGGGTTGTCCGTAGGTGTTGGGATCAGGGGGTCACAGGTTCAAACCCCACTGCAGTCAGCATGTCGTTGTGTCCCTGAGACTCTTCACCCCAAATTGCTCCTGTGGGGATTGCCCACTGTATTGAGTATGTAAGTCGCTTTGGATAAAAGCGTCTAACGTCTATTCTGTTATTTCTTACACGATGATTCCTGTATTGTTTAAATCAGGCTTTATTATCCACTTCTTTACTTTGATAGGAAGCTAGAAAGCGTTTTTAAGCCACCCTGAGGATATTAATAACTATCCCATTGATGGAAATGAACCCTAATCAAGCACTGATTTTAATTGCAATCTGCTTAAATATGCCATCTGTGACCCGCTCTATCGAAATCAGTCGGAAGTCGCAACGGCTCATTTCAGAATAAACGTGGATTTGCGTAAAAAACAATTTTTTCGGGGTTCGGGTGTTTTGTTTGATTTTAAACAAACAAAGTCTTGGCTTTCAGAATATGAAACTTTTATTTCCAAAATCACACGATAAATACATGTTTGAAGCTTGTAAAGGGACGAAGACAGCTCTCCCTCGCCACTCTGCGGCCTCCCTCCGGCTGACATTATGAATGTAAGAGTATAGTAATCATAGATAACACGGCAGGGTCCGTTACAGTTTGTTTTCATCTGATTTCAATTAAACAAAGTCTTGGCTTTCAGAATATTAAACTTGTTTCGGCAAATTCAGATGATAAATACAAGTTTGAAGCTTTGGCATAATTACAAGCGGAGAACGGAGTAACTTAACGTCACAGCAGGCATAACAACAGCCGGTGTTTCTCGTGAGTGTTTTCCCCGGGAAACAAACACAATACACACAAACGCAAAATTACACAAACACACACGCGTATACACACACACACACACACACACACGTATACACACACACTCGCGAGCTTCCCCTCCAACGAAAATATCTTCCCTCCGTAGTATTTTGATCATTTGCTCCACTAATAATCAATCAGATCGATGGATTCCAGAGAAGAGAAAACTTTGAAGGCCTTTTTCTCAAAATGATGACTCGGTGACAGTCATTATATAATGTGACATATTTTGCTTAATATTTGGAGAACAACAACAATCCTGATATCATTAGAAAGCTAGGAATCTCCTCTTTCCAGGAGTATACAACTCAAAATGTGTCTTCGGGTCAATGCGACTGATTTCGATAGAGCAGGTCACATATGTTGTCCCTTTTCCAAGTTATCACATAGTATGGACATTGTAATCTCTTGTATTCTATCTCAACAAGTTGTGTATGGTATCCATGGCATGAAAATAAGAGTTTGTTTGATCAGTTCACATTCCTGTCTCTTTTCTCACCAGGTTGTCCGCAGAGGAAGGGATGTCCTGGAGGGAAGAAGCAGGAAGTTCTGCGTCCAATAATCCCACCCCCCCCTCCGTCTCTGCACCCCACGCCTGGCTCAACAGAGTCACTCTGGAGGAGGAGGAGAGGAAGAGGAGGGGCATGATGGAGGCGGAGGAGGAAGAGGAGGAGGAGGAGGAAGAGGATCAGAAGGGAGCAGCAGGGTCTTCAGAGGAGAAGGAGGACGAGGGGAGAGGGAAGATGGAGATGCAGGAGAAGCTGAGCAAACTGTTCAGCAGCCAGCCGGGGGATCCATGGGGGCCAACAGGTGGGCTACTACATATTAGGGTTGCCAGAAACTGACCATGATCAAAATCGATTATTCGGCAGCCCTGGCGAATAATAATCGATTATTCCCCCCCCCCAATGCTATTATTAATACAGGCTGTAGCCTGTATTAATACTCAAAACGCATTGTTGAGGTTGAGCTGTGATAGACCAACGTCTTTTCGCAGAGCTTGCATTTAACTTCCTTTGGACTTGTAAGTTCGAAGTAGTTCCACGAGGAGGAACTCTTTTTACCTGCCGCTTTGTTCATCTTTAGTCGCACGTGTGAGGGAGAGGGGGGGTGCGGGCGGGGGCGGTGCGTGCTGCAGCAGCAGTCTGCTCTGCACGCAGGCTTCCTCCAAGTTTACAGTAAAACAAACTAGTGGTGTGACCAATGGCCATTTACAATTATTAATACTATTACTATTATTAGCATTAGTCTATATTTTGGTTGAAACTAAGCCAGAAAAGAAAAATAATAATAAAATCGATTTTTAAAAATAATATTCGATTATGGAGACTGTAACGAATAATCGAATAATCACTGGCATCCCTACTACATATAATGTGTGCATTAAATATATAACAAGTGCTGTTACAGTGTGTGCAATCAATACGATAAGATAATACTTTAGTGGTCAAATCAAGTCTGAAATGCTCCTTGCATCACAGCAGCTCTATGCGTAACATCAACAGACAGATATCAAGACACAACAAACACGATCAGTGAGAGAAAAGCTCTTCAAAGAGCCTTCAGCGTGCATCTGATCTGGATTCAGCTCTGTGTTCACTGAGAGGATGGACTGGAGCACAAAGGATGCTTCAGGCTGACTTGAGATCATTAGTGTTATTACACTGTGCATTAACCCTAGAGTAGAGTGTTTGACAGTTGTATGAGGAACCAAAGGATTGTATCTACATCCTTACTTGATTCCAAAATTCCTGCAGAGTTAAGGCAATACTTTTAAATCTGTAGGACACATTTAGAGGCAAGAATCGGATCGGAAGTAAAACTCTTCTGGGTTTTAGATGATCGGCATGTGTGAAAAATCTTTTAAACCTTACAGTAAGAATCTAATTCCAGCACACTTTCCTCAAAATATATTCAATACGTTTCTGGACATAAAGACTCCTCAAGAACACGAAGCATTATGTCACGCTAGTTTTGGATTCAAATTCAAAGCTTGACTTGCAAGGTTTAAAGAAGTACTCTTATTCTTTACTTAAAAACAGCCTACAGTCTATAAATACTCCATTACGTAAAGTAAAAGTCCTGAATTCTCAATGTAACTTAAAAAAAACGTTATACTCAAGAACAAGTATGAGAGAAATGTACTTGAATGAATTGATTTAGTTACACCTACCTCTTAGTATAAAGTGTGTTGTTAGAGTTTGACAACACATATCATTAACGCTTAATTATACTTTGGTTGATTATATTGTAATCATATCTTTCTTCACAGTGGAGAAGGGTCCGGTTCCCAATCTGTTCGAGCAGAAGACCCCGGTCAGCAGCTTCGACCAGCAGACGTCCGTGAAGGTGGTTTACTACAGAGCTCTGTATCCGTTTGATGCTCGCAGCCACGATGAGATCAGCATCGCCCCGGGAGACGTCATCATGGTACGCAGTATAAACACAAACTTAACGACCATACACTTGCATCCTTAGGTCGTCTAACGTTGGTACCAAAACACAGGAACACAGGAGGAAGTCTGTCATGTCTGTAGCAGCTCGAACAAGGAAAAGGAAGGAAGAAGATGGTGCAGCAAAAACAACGTTAGGGAATTTAATCACAGTATTTTTATCAACAGCCTTAAAATAACAATTTATAACATGAGAAATCTGTTTTTTACGACAGTGAACGGCTGTGATGTGTCTGTAGCAGCTCGAACAAGAATAAGGAAACAAAACGTATTTTTGGTTTGATGAAAAGGAGAAGTAGAAGTAACGTATGGGGTCATACGACATGATATTATTTGTTATTAATAAGTGAAGGCATACAGAATATACTGTACTTAATGAATTAGGTCTCACACCACGTACATGCAAATTGATAGATCTGCCCTTTAATCGATTGATGCAAGACTCACTGATATCAGAATACAAACCCCCTCGTTCTGATGTTGTTGGACATAAATATTGGACGTTAAATATCAATATATTTGAGCACTATGAGCTTTGAATATATTCCAGTATTACATTATTATAGTCAATTTGAAGATGTATCAGCAATCGAGCGTAGGTTATTTGTAAATCCGAGAGGATCGTGATTGCAGCCAATGAGTGCATCTGTAAGTGTGTCTTTGTAACACGGTTATAATAAGAACAAAAATTAACAATAGGGCGTTAGGACTCTTAACGTAAAGATTAGATTCATAGAAAACGTATTAGGTTAAAGTTTTAATAGCCAAGTGACGATGAAATACCAAGATACTCCCTCAAGACCAATAACGTTTTAAATTTGGGAGGACTTAAAAGTGTGTGTGTGTGTGTGTGTGTGTGTGTGTGTGGTGTGTGTTGTGTGTGTGTGTGTGTGTGTGTGTGTTGTGATGTGTGTGTGTGTTGTGTGTGTGTGTGTGTGTGTGTGTGTGTGTGTGTGTGTGTGTGTGTGTGTGTGTGTGTGTGTGTGTGTGTGTGTGTGTGTGTGTGTGTGTGTGTGTGTGTGTGTGTGTGTGTGTGTGTGTGTGTGTGTGTGTGTGGTGTGTGTGTGTGTGTATTAACTGTTTCTTCTCTCTTCTGCTGTGCTAACTGAAGGTGAAGGGGGAGTGGGTAAGTTGTTGTTGTTGTTGACCCCGCCCAGTGTTGTACCTCCACCAATCACAAGCCAGCTTTCACTTGAACTCTCGCTGTCATTGGCTCATCTCACATCATCTCCACGTTCATTCATTTGCCAGCAGATGAATGGTTGTCGTTTTTGTACGAAATCATTCTAATCTGACTGTAAATGTTGTTATGCTTGATTTGTTTTCACAGTTAATGAGAAGAATGATGATATGCTGTGATTTTAAAAGTTATTCAAGGAAGGAAACGCTACTTTGAGTTAGCTTACCTCAGCGAAAAAATACATTTAATATATTTTGTATGACCAGCAAATACACTTCAACATAAATAAGATTAGACCGCTTTATTTCTATTCAAAAACACATTGGAAGTTCATCTTTTACAAAAGATTTACAAAAAAATCGTAAAGAAATGGAAATAAAAATAGATATTTAAAAGGGATTTTTAACTTCCAGTGAAGTGACCTGCCTTAGGTTTTAAAATGAGATGATTTATATGAGTAGCATTACTGAGTTAGGCAGATTATTCATTATAAGAGTCTGGTTGTTAAGATAGAAACAATGTCAAGTTAATTTCTCTCTGTCGATAATTGTATTAATTTCTGTAATTGTGCTTTCTGTAGTTTTACCTCTGAACAGCTGTTGTTGTGTCCATTGTTATTGTGAATGTTGTACCATGTATCTTGACACCCACACACACACACACACATCTCTGTGTGTCAGCATGCATCCACTTCATCTAACCCCGCCCCTCTGCTTTGATAGGTCGATGAGTCCCAGACGGGAGAACCTGGTTGGCTGGGAGGAGAGCTCAGGGGCCGCACTGGTTGGTTTCCCGCCAATTACGCTGAACGGATACCGGACAGTGAAGCACCAATCAGCTTGCGAGCAACCGCCTCGGCCCCTCCCACTTCAGCCCAGCAGCCAATGAGCACGCCTCCCCCCGCCCCGGGACACGCCTCCTCCTCCGCGCCCTCAGCCAATAGTAACTGGGCTGACTTCAACACCACGTGAGTCAACGAGCTGGTGGCAAACCATCAGAACCAGGGTTTTAGTCCGAATATCATAAGAACTACACCAACTGTCTTTCCTTATTTGATGTTTTTAGGTTTTCCCATAAATCTCTGAGTTTACGTTACCATATTTAAGCGCTTGAGCACACGGAAAAGCGCTATATAAATCACATGTATTATTATTATATTGTTTTTATATCAAGCATCTTTGAATACCTAGAAAAGGGGCTATATAAATCAAATTTACTCAAATTATTTTACGACGTCCTTACCGTAGAAAACAATAATCAAACTTAATTAAACACTTATCAACAGCCTCAAAATAACAATTTATAACATGATAAAGTTGTTTTGGAAAGGCTAAGTGGCAAAACATATGTATTCAACTATATTTTAATCAAACAAAAAACTTTGTCCAATACATTTTGACTTTGACACTTTAAAAAGTCATAATCCTACATAGCCACTACTGTCATCTAATCCTACAAATACATTTCAACTTTGTATGTATGAGTGTAGCCTCACGTTAATCTGCCTCTGTGCTCTTTTTAATATAAATCTTTCCTTGGTGTGTTTTATCTCCAGTTGGCCCTCTAACTCAGCCAGCCAATCAGAAAGCGAGGGCTGGGATGCATGGCCCACCTCTACGACCAATCAGAATCCTTCCCTCAGTGTTCCGTCTGCGCAGCTACGGCAACGCTCCGCCTTCACACCAGCTACCTTGACAACAGGCTCCTCCCCTTCTCCTGTGCTGGGCCAGGTAGGAACATTATAGTCTCTTAAACTGGGTCCAAAATGTGTTTTAAATATATAATAAATCAGCTTTTTCACTGATAATATTTTCTTTGTTTGATTATCGAGTTGTTGCTGTGTTTGTAGATTACAATCTGTATTAATTATTGCTTTTTTTTCTCTGTTTGTCAGGGGGAGAAGGTAGAGGGTCTTCAGGCTCAGGCTTTGTATCCCTGGAGGGCGAAGAAGGACAACCACCTTAACTTCAACAAAAATGAGGTAGAGGAGCCATTCCTTCATATTAAACACACTATATATTACATTATCTTCATTAATAAGGTGTGTTTTCATTCACTCTTATAGTTGTGTGCTTGTACTTGAGTACAAACGTATCTTGAAATATCGCAAACACTTGAAATTGGTTGAAATTGATAGAAAAACTCATAACTAGTGCTTTATTTGTTGTATCCACTAGAAAAACAAACAAAACAATGGATATAATGGATGTTAATAAGGATTTGCCTTTTATTTTTCTAGAAATGTGGGTACATTTGCAACACATTTGGTTAAAATCACGCCTATTAACTGTTACCATATATTTTTCTATTGAGTATTTGTGTATTTCTGTTAGATTGTAATGATGTTGTACCGTATATATCTAATTGTTTCCCTTTTTATTCTTTACCGCAGGTCATCACGGTGTTGGAGCAGCAGGACATGTGGTGGTTAGGGGAACTGCAGACCGGACAGAGAGGCTGGTTCCCCAAAAGTTACGTCAAGCTCATCTCCCCCACCATGACGCCCCCCCCGAGTACCGTCGCACGCAGCAAAAACCCAAGGTGGGCTACAATGTTGTTGTTAGAAAAATATCACTGGTCATCAGCTTGAGCTTCAATCTCAGGATCCATGTATCTGTGATCCTCTCCAGAATGGAAGTAGTCTTCACATACAGAGCATCAACTAGTTCCTGAACAGAGTCCTTCACATGCTGATATCCAAGAGAGGGAGTTACACAGTCACAAGATGGAGGAATAGAAAGCAGTATTCAATGTTTACTTCAGATTAGCTCCACGTCAGAAATGAGCATGCTTGTCATATGTCTCTCTCCATAGAGGCTGAATCATCATGTTAATCACATAGCTATCATATGCCTCAAACAGTCCTGATGCTCTTCTAGGTAATCACACATCCTGTCATGTTCACAGCTACAGTTGGGATACCTTTGTTATCACGTTACTCTCATGTTGGAAGAGGACATTCAGGATTTTCCCAACAGTTGACAATACATAAAAAGTCAGGAGCATGTAACATCTACTTTAGCATCCCTTAACACGGTTAGATTTTTGGAATATTACTTATAAGTTTTTGTGCAATTTTAAATATTGAAAACAGTGAAGCAGGAGAGATTTAGGAAGTAAACAACAACGAAGAGTAAAGATAAAGGTTTATTTATATGTATTTTATGTCTTTTTTTATTTAGTATACACTATTATTTTATCTTTAACATCAATTAATTCTTATTTATAATTTGATTTTTTTTAAATTGCCTATTTATTAAAATGTTCAGATATCAAAATAAAATCCTGTATCTTTAATATGATGTTTTTTGTCTCTCTCAGTGAGTCTGGAGTATCGGAAAGCCCCCCCCAATGGGAAGCGCCCCTCCCCTTCGCCAACAAAACCCTCAGAGTCTGGTGGTGGAGAAGGTAAACACACACACACACACACACACACCAAGCGCTCACTCAGCACTCAGCATCCTCACGCACGCACACGCAGCACACCACACACACACACACCACACACACACACCAACACACACACAACACACACACACACACACACACACACACACACACACACACACCACACACACCACACACACACACACACACACACATACACACATACCACACATACACACACACACACACTCTCTCACAGACACACACACACACAATCTCTCTCACACTCTCTCGCTCACCACACACACACACACACACACATCACACACACACACACACACACACACACACACACACTCTCTCTCACACACACAACCTCTCTCATATACAGACACAGACATATACACACACTCACTCACTCTCTCTCACATACAAACACACACACTCTCGTCACACATACAGGTACACTATACACACTCTCTCTCTCACACACACACACACACACTCACATACACACACTCACATACACTCACACGTAAATGCATATTTCTCTAAAAAGCCTGATGAGTAATCGTATTGCCTCCCTGTGTCTCCGTGCTTGTGTGCAGAATATGTGGCCATGTACACGTACGAGAGCAGCGAACAGGGAGACCTGAGCTTTCAACAGGGAGAGGTCGTCATGGTGACCAGGAAAGAAGGTGATTGGTGGACGGGATTGGTCGGGGGGAAGATCGGAGTCTTTCCGTCGAACTATGTGAAACCGCGAGACTCGGCGTTAGAGGTGAGAGCGACTCAGGGCAAATGAGGAAGTATCAGGAGCGTGAATGTGTCTTTATTTTACACAACAAGAGACATGTTTGTAATAAATTAGATTTAAACTTTTGTTTCCAGCCTTTGGGACCAGGAGGGAAGACGGGGAGCCTGGGAAAGAAACCAGGTGAGCTTTCAATCAATGTATAATGTTACTTTATTGAAGCTCCTGCAGACGACTCTTCACTTTCTCCCCTTTTCGCAGATTATACCAAGTTTCTAGATAAAGTCTATTTGAGTTTTAGTTCCATTTTTGCATTTTCAAAAGAAAGGGATCAGAAACTGAACCTGTCTGATTTAATAAAGTATTTATTCCACACTTACAAGATAGTCCAAGTCTGCTATTTTGCTTGGGAAGGTTCCTAAACGAATGAATGCATGTGTTGACAATACCCATATTTAAAAACATACATCATGTTATTAACCTGTTAAGCCCGAGAGCCCCCGGTACAGGGGGCTGCGGGTTGTTTTTCACGAAACTGTGTCTCAGGGCTTCTTAATATTTAAAAACCTATTAATGTGTCATACCCACTTAACGGGAAGAAACTCAGCTAACTGACTATACGAACCATTTTTACCGAAACAAAGCACAAGTCTCACAAGAACCGTCTAAATCAGCGGTGGGGAACCTCCGAGGGCCGTACAAATGATTGAACTCAACCTCTGCTTAAAAAAACTAAAATCAGAGCCCATTCATTTGGCCTTTCTTTCATGCTGTGCAAAGAAAAAGCAACCTCTTAATCCAGATATCTCACCATGACTCACGCATGCATGCACGTGCACGGTGTGGCATGACCACCAAAACAGAAAGATATGGACGCAAGATGTGTGCAAATGTATTTAGTTTCCTATCCATGTGAACATGATTTAAGTGGGGGGTGGACCTAACATCCTGTAGGGGGGGACCTAACCTCCTCTAGGGGGGTCCGGGGGCATGCACCACCGGGAAGATGTGTTTTAAATGTTGAAGTCAAACTTTGAGAGCAACATTTTGAGAAAAAGTTAGTATTTTGAGAAAAAGTCAGACTTTTGAGAAAAAGTTAGTATTTTGAGAAAAAGTCAGACTTTTGAGACAGAGAATTTAAAAAGTCAATCATGGACAAAGTGGCCCAAAGACCCTGATAGAGTGATGTAACCCCTGACTTTTTAAATGATGACCTTTTCTCAAAATTCAGACTTAGTACAGGGTTAAGTAAAGCCCATTTTCAAAACACAGCAGGTAGGTTCACTGACATTAATATATATGTTCTTCCTCTGTGTCTCCATCAGAGATCGCTCAGGTGATCGCCCCCTACAGCGCCACAGGAGCCGAGCAGCTGACGTTAGCTCCGGGTCAGCTGATCCTCATCAGGAAGAAAAACCCGGGGGGCTGGTGGGAGGGTGAGCTGCAGGTACACAAGCACCAACTCTCATATAACTCTCATATAGGAAATGTTCATTGTGTTGACATTGCAAAAGGAGAAATCTAGGGCAGCTCTATGAAGCGTTTAATCGTGTGCCATGTCACTGAAACGTATAATAATCTAGTTTAAATATACTAAATACTTTCTTGAGGACATTCAATGCTCTCTTATTTAATTGTTCTTATGTATTTAATACAATTACAATACCTGAATATACATACCTCCTATTATATGTCTCAATAACGTCTAGGAATTCTATGCGACTGAAATTGCTCGGAGTATCGTGTGTTGGTTTTGGGTCATTTTACTGTGAAGATGGTTCCAGCTAATTCCTCGATCACAGCACAATGGTTATATTTCATTTATTATAGAGTGCCACAGTGACAAGTCCTAAAACCCGGAAGTAAGTTAGCATTTCACCACTTCCTGTTCCCTCGTCTCAGAGCCAATGGGATCTCTCCATAGGATTTTGGAAAATAGCTGAAATAAGGTCTGTGGTCGAGACACATTGAAGAGACGGATCACGTTTTGTTCTACATTAAATCCATCAGCAGTGACCCCACTGGTGATTTCTGAAGAGTTGACGTGTCTGAAAAACGATGGTTGTTACCAAGTGGCTGAATAGGACTACAGAAGTTCTCGAGGTCGTTGTACGTCATTACGCCGAACACGTAAACACTCCTCTAAGTTTGTTTGCCCTGTTCTGCTTGAAAGCAAGTCCCTGCCTCCTGCAGACTGTTCAAACAAACGCTTCAACTCGTTCCATTTAGAATCTGTGTGTTTGAATATGGATCTTAAGTTGGCGTGACGTTGAAGTCGTGCTGCTGGACTCAGCTGTAGCTCCTTTATAGCGTACCGTTAGCATTTTGACTAGAAAATGATAAAAGTAGGATAGACATGTGGAGATTATCCGGCTGAACAAAACGTGATCCGTCTCTTAAATGTGTCTCAACCACAGACCTTATTTCCAGCTATTTTCCAAAATCCTATGGAGAAATTGCATTGCTTTTTGTTGAAGGAACCGGAAGGAGTTTACTTCCTGGTTTTAGGACGCGTCACTCTATGATGAGGCTTTTTATCGTGTGCCATGTCACTGAAACATATAATAATCTAGTTGAATTATACTAAATACATTAAATGAGTCTCTAATTTAATTGTTGTTATGAATTGAATATATGTTCAATACCAGAATCTATTTGAATAGACTTTTGATTGTGTTCTGGTTTTATATTTCAGTATTTGTAGCAACTGTGACTGAAAAAAATATTGCTTTTATTATTTTATTTTTTTCTTTAAGAAGGGGGCAAGTCAAATAAGATGTTCTTCTCCCTGCTCCTTTCCGCCATGCGCTATAAAAAACTAAAAAGTGCACATGTTTTGTTTTTAAAATAACCGCCCTGTGTGGAATAAATCAATATGTACCTCCTATTATATGTCTCAATTACATCTAGGTCTACGTCTCTATTTTGAGGCTGTAGCATAATTTGAGGACTTTAGATTTGGTTGCGATTTTTGCTTAATAACATGCTTTGCTCTGATTGGTTTAGGCCCGGGGGAAGAAGCGGCAGATTGGTTGGTTTCCGGCCAATTACGTGAAGCTGCTGAGTCCCAGCACCAGCAAGACGACGCCCACAGAGCCCACCCCCCCCCAAACTGACTCCGGCCAGCACAGGTATGCACACACATAAATACCTATTATAAAAATAAGAGTTTTATAGCTTACGCTGTGTGGGGAACGCAGAACATCCAATAATAAGGTCTCCTATCATGCAAAATGCACTTTGTGATGTCTGTTATACATCAATGTGTCCCCGGTGTGTCGGGGAACTCACGCAGCATCAGAAAATAAAAACCTCTCTCTTTTCCTCCGTACCCAAATCTCTAAAAACGGGGAACAACGGAGCTGATCCAGATTTGCGTCCGATATGACGTCATATCTGAAATGTGGACCCACGGCCCAATCAGAAACGTTGCTATCAGAAACAATGCCCGACTGTTTTGGACGTAATATGATCGGTGTTTACATTAGCATCGCTAACACTCAGAGCTAACCTGCACTGGAGAGCATGTGTGTGAAGAAGCAGGAAGTAAAAAGGAACTCACCTTGTGGTAAACCTGATTAGGGATGGGTACCGAGCCCCGGTATTAAAGGGGCCCCGGGGCTGAATTATTAAAGACTGTGGTACCGTTAAGCTCCGACGTTATCGGTCTTTTTATCGGTACTGGAGAGATTTAAAAAATATATGTCATATGTATTATTGCTACATAAACATTATATCGCAGTTTTAGTTTCGCCAACTCCGTTTCTAACATGCAAAAAGACTACAAAATGTGTCTATGATGTATTTTCACACACACACACACACACACACATGGCGGAGAGAACGCTCTCCGAGGTGTGGTTAAACTTTACGCGTCTCGATGTGGACAATGCTCGTTACCTAAAGTGCAATAAGAGTTCAGCATGTAACGGCGGTAACACGAGCAGTTTCTATAAACATTTATCAAAAGTGCACCACATTCAGACGGAGGAATGCACCGGGTTCCACCGTCTTTCTAGCAGCTCTGTAGCCCCGTCCACGAATAACGTTTCCACGTCAGGTGTTATGTATGCTAGCAGCAACACACGGAGTTAACTCCATTATACAAACACGGGTTAATGATTAGAGGAAACTGAGTTATTTATTTTGTTAAAGTTTCAGCTATTCTGTTCACAGTTCTGTCATCAGATTATTTAATACCATTTGTTAAAACATTTGTTATTTATTTAATTTAAGTAAAAAGCTATGTTAATTTTGTTTACAATTTGTTTAGTTAGTTTACCTTTTTTTCTCCAACGAACCGATAAGAGTACCGTTAAAGGACCGGATCGATAAGCGGTATCGATACAAATAGTACCGTTAAAACCTTAACGATACCCCTCCCTAAACCTGAGAGAAAACAGCAGTTGAGCTCTATAGAGCGGCGAAGTCCCTCCCTTTCCGGGGGATCTCCATGGGACCCTTATTTATGATGTTTGTCAATTTAAAAGATAATTTTGCAAGTCAAAAAATATAAGTGTCGTAAAACTGTGAAGTAACACTTTTGTTTGTGTGAAACCACTCAATGAACTACATCTCCCGCCTCGCACCACACACCCAGACGGCCGTCACGTTGGAACATTTCACTCCTTTCTTTCAGAACGAGGCGGAAAGTATTACAAGAGGTGAAAATCACTCCAAGTCTGGGCACGTTGAGAGCTGTGCATACACACAAGGGGAGTTAGTCGGTTCCTAAGAGCCAGCATGCGGGACCGCGACTCTGGGATTTGTAGTCTTTCTAGTTGCGTATTTTTCATAGTCTTATATTTCAGCAGTTTTACGACAAACTGTGACTTTTTTGACATGGAAATAATTTTTTAAGATTGACAAACATCATATGTGTAACTCGTGGCACAATTCAAACGGGATCGAAAGATAATCTTTCTCTCCCCATCGACTTCAATACATACTTTTTCAGAAATAAGGTCCCATGGGTCGGAAGTAGATGGGCGGGACTTCGCCTCTCTATACTGTTTCAGAAATAATCCTTGATGTGGTTCGGAACATGATATGGCGTTTCATCACAAGCTCCCCCTCCTTTTTCCCCCCAAATGTTTTCAGCAGTTCTCTTCCAACAGGGCTGAAATAGAATCTATCTATCTATCTAAATAGAGGGGTGACCTGCTTGGTATTTTGAGACAAACACTTCATAGACATGTTTTTTTAATATATTTTTATTTATCTGAGACGCACCTAAAAACAGTATAATAGGGGACCTTTAAGTCTGACTTTGTGTGTGTGTGTGCGTGTGTGTGCAGCTGTGTGTCAGGTGATCGGGATGTACGACTATGTGGCGCAGAACGACGACGAGCTGGCCTTCCTGAAGAGTCAGGTGATCACCGTGCTCAACAAGGACGACTGTGATTGGTGGAAAGGGGAGCTCAACGGGAGGGAGGGGCTGTTTCCTAGCAACTACGTCAAACTCACCACGGATACCGACCCCAGCACGCAATGTGAGTACACAGAAACACACACACATACTCACACACAGTATACTAACATTCAATGGGAATACAAAGTAACACACATTCACACACTCATTTTGTCCCTCACACATACACACACACTCTTTCCCTCACACACACACACACACACATCCCAGAGCCAGGTGTGGAGATGCTGTCCCTCTCTCAGTGTTTGACCCCGGATTGCTTTGACCTTGACACTCCTTTGGGTCTCTTTGATAAAAACCTCCCAGTGATGCAACACCTCTGGGCGGTGTTTGTGCATGTGTGCATGTGTGTGTGTATTTGCATCAGTGTTAAAGTGTTTCCTCTCCTCCCTGCATGTTTCCCTTCAGCACGATCCACCATAGAGCTAGAGTTTCTAGAGCGGAGAGACAGACACTAGGGTTGCGGTCAAATTGTCAGTTTATCTTAGGAACCTTCCTAACGGAGTGAAATGACCCGGAAGTCCCTCAGTGGCAGCCATGATAAGTGCCGTTCCACTGCTCTAGATGATAGAAAGGAGGTTTCAAACTTCCTTTATAACCTCCTTTAGCTTAGGAACCACTGGACCTCCCTCACCGAAAGGAGAGGAGAAAATTGCTGCCCCACAATGCCTTGCAGCCGCAGCATTTGACGTCACACAACAGTCGGCCGTTCACGGAAACAACCGATTATGACCGAGAAATGATATCATGAAAGTTACGGTGCTTATTAAGCTTTTTAAAACGTAATGTGGTAAGTTGCCAAAGTGCTTGTTCTGAACGTTCATCAGTATTATAATCAAAAACAGAAATATGAACGTTAGTTTTACTGAAATTGTCAATAAAGTCAACATTTCACAGTCTTTACTGAGCTGTGTGGAGTTTGTTCAACTTTTAAAAGATGTTTTAATGGTGATTGCATCGTAAACACGTCGGATAGTGAAAGTGCAGTCGGATTCTCAAAGCACCGCAGTCTCTTCTCCTAAGTCCTTTTGAATTCTCCTATCCACTATCCCTTAACCCCGTGACGTTTCACACAGAGGTCAAGGAATAGACGATAGGGTTAGACGATAGGGATAGGCGATAGATGATAGAAATAGACGATAGGGATAGACGATAGGGATAGACGATAGGATTAGACGATAGGGATAGACAATATAAATAGACGATAGGGATAGGCGATAGGGATAGGCGATAGGATTAGACGATAGGGATAGACGATATAAATAGACTATAGGGATAGACGATATAAATAGACTATAGGGATAGACGATATAAATAGACGATAGGGATAGGCGATAGGGATAGACGATAGGATTAGACGATAGGGATAGACGATATAAATAGACTATAGGGATAGACGATATAAATAGACTATAGGGATAGACAATATAAATAGACGATAGGGATAGGCGATAGGGATAGACGATAGGATTAGACGATAGGGATAGACGATATAAATAAATGATAGGCGATAGGGATAGGCGATAGGGATAGGCGATAGGGATAGGCGATATAAATAGACGATAGGCGATAGGGATAGGCGATAGGGATAGGCGATAGGGATAGACGATAGGCGATAGGAATAGACGATAGGATTAGACGATAGGGATAGACGATAGATAGGGATAGACGATAGGATTAGACGATAGGGATAGACTATAGATAGGGATAGACGATAGATAGGGATAGACGATAGGGATAGACGATAGGGATAGACGATAGGGATAGACGATAGATAGGGATAGACGATAGGGATAGACGATAGATAGGGATAGACGATAGGGATAGACGATAGACGATAGGGATAGACGATAGGGATAGATGATAGGATTAGACGATAGGGATAGACGATAGCTGATTTTTGGACTTTTCGACCGCAACCCATGGCAAAACGTTTTTTTTTTATATTTGAAAATGTGTATCCTTTAGATTTGTAAGTTTAGTCTATTACTAGAAACAAATCTATAATAAATAATTCAATTTAGAGTTAAACAAACATTTTTATACCACCTCATTGTTTTGGTGTTTATAGTCTGCCGATCACAAATGATTGAGTAAATAATAACAATAACGTTCGGCACATAGAAGCTGTCTCACTGGTCGCTCTAGATCTTCTATTTCTATGCTAGCTCAGTGCACACCTCCACACTCTGTCTTGCTGCACGCTCCACCCACCTAGCACCCGATTGGTTGTTGTTTTTATTGTTGTTGTTTTGTTTAGTTGTTGATGTTGTTGTTGTCGTCCTCTCTCTAGGATCATATCATTACCCAGAACCCCCCTCTCCTCAAAGCCCTCAAAGAGACCCACTAGGCCACCCCCACTAGGCCACTCAACCAATGGGACAGCAGCAAGAGGTCACATGACCCTGGAAATGGCGACTCTCCACCAATAGTGGCCAAACAGACAGACTGTAACGTTAAAAAAAAAAAAGAACTGTCTATGCATGGCTCTGACTGGACTCTGCCAAACTGTTTGATCTAATGAGACTATTGAGCTCCTTCCTCCCTGATTGGACTGTTTTAACTGGACACACACACACACACACTAACATGAATCTATCAAAGCGTGGTTCAGTGGATAGTGGGTCATTTTGTGGCTTTACGGGAGATTCTGTCATTAGAATCAGCTCATTCTTCCTGCTTTATTATTTCTTTTATTCTAACTCGCTCCCATTGGTTCAGCAGCTTCTTTCACTGTCAGTTACCCCCCCCTCACTAACCCCTCCCTTCCCACAGCTTCACAGAAAGACCCACTATCTGCTGGAGGACAAGTCTCAATCATAAAGGGACAGTTCACCTCAAAATATACGTTTCCTCCTCTCA